ACTAGGTGGGCATCCCAGAGGCTGGGTGGTGATAGGTGGGCATCTCTGTGGCTGGGTGGTGCGGGGTGGGTGTCCCTGTGGCTGGGTGGTGCGGGGTGGGTGTCCCTGTGGCTGGGTGGTGCGGGGTGGATGTCCCTGTGGCTGGGTGGTGCAGGGTGGGCATCCCTGCAGCTGGGTGGTGCTAGGTGGGCATCTGTGTGGCTGGGCGGTGCAGGGTGGGCATCAGGAAAAGCTTTAGCCAGGCTTCCATGGTTCTGCCTGTCCTACATGGACATGAAAGCCATTTTTCTCACTTGAGACAAAACTGGATTTACAGTGTTTAAAATGTACCCATTAATTAGAATTTACTGGGCATTGCGTGGGGTTTTCGCCCTGCATGACTTCATGGACATAGAGGGCAGGCGCCTGGGTCTCCTCGAGCGAGGCGGCCCCTGAAAGTTGATCATGTGTGGTGGCCAGGCTCTCAGCATGAGAGTTGCAAGCTTCCATGGAGGGTCAAAGAGAATGAAAGGGCAGGGAAAGATCTGGTGGAGGAGGGGGCCGGGCTCTCATGGAGCCATGGAAAGCTGGGGGATCAGGAGGGGCCAGGTAGAGCCAAGGCAGGGCTGATGTGCGGGGGCCACATCCGAGCACTGAGAGAACACCGTACCTGCAGTGCAGCAGCGTTACCTGGGAGAGCCACTCGGGGAGGCTGGCAGGGCAGGGCGGGCAGAGCAAGCAGGGCCCCTCCCTGAATCATCTTCCGTAGTTTAGGATCATTTTCAAAATCCAGGTTTTGTTTAATAACAAGTTCATGAAAGACATTGTTTCTATTTACCCTTCTTAAACATACACAAAATAAGCTGGGGCAGTAAGAAGAGCCGCGAGGTGTGGTTTTCTGTAAGATGTATGGCTGATCCCTGTCACCCAGGTTTGGGAAGGTAGCGCATCCCTTTGAAGGTGCTGGGCCCGTGTTTCTGTCGTCTCCTTGACATCTTCTGTGAGTGGAGCAGAGTGGCTGTACGTAAGGAAGAGCCCAGCCTTGTTACTCTATTTTTATAAAGCACAAAGGCTGTGCGTCTGCAGTCGACGGAGAAAACGTCTTTAGTGCCTGAGAAGCCTCGCAAGTGCTGACTTCCCCAGCCGCCATGCCTGGCTGGGTGAGCTCTCTGATGAGCGTTCAAGTGCTACTTTTGTCCGGTGAGTAGATGGCGTTTTTATTTTTTATTTTTTGCTACTAGGCCTCACACTCAGGACCCTGCACTTGCCAGGCAGGCACCTACGCCTCTGAGCTATTTCTCGGTCCCTAGAATGTGTCTAAATGGATTATAAATTAGAACTCATTGGATTACCTTTCTTGAGAACTATTACTACTAGTTAAATATTCTGGTTGCATATTCTGACTATATATATATATATAATTGTGAACTGAAAACATAAATTAAAAATACTATTTTGGAAGGAAATATCTGCATCTGGAATGAAATTTTCTGTTTAATAATTGTTTTTTGATTAATATTAATTCTGATTCATATCTTCTGGTTAATACTAAAATCTTATATTCATTGCGATTAGATAGAAATGTCAGCTTTTAACAGTTATTGGGGGTTACGGTGATAGTTCACAGCTTTCAGTAATAATTTATAACCTTTCTTTTGTAATTTCTTTCTGACCTATCTGATGTCATTCCTTTTAGCTTTCCCTGCCCTACCGTCCCTAAGGGAGTAACTTATCATAGTGATTAATTATTTGCTTGTGTTATAGTCTCCTTTTCTCAAATCATGTTTGCAGATTTTTGTGAATTTGGTTATCCTTGGCATCTTCTTTTTTTCTTTATGTGTTTGGTACAGGGTCTCACTTCGGAGCTCTGACTCATAGTTATCCTCCTGTTTTCAGCCTCCCCAGCACTGGGATTATAGGCTTGTGCCAGCATATCTGGTCTCTGTGGCCGGCTCAGCATGCCTGGGGGGTGGGCCAGTGCGACATGTGGTGCTGGGGATTGCAACCCGGTCTGCGTTTGCCTAAGCAAGATTTAGTCCACTGAGCCATCTGGCCGGCTTCCTCGGCATCTTCTCATGACAATGATTTTCGTCTTTGACTGAGAGCATCTAGTCATCTCTGAGGGACAGGGTGTCCTGGCTGGTTGGGTCTGCTGGGCTGGGCATCCTGATGTGGCTGCTGCCTCCCTCAGGTGTGACATAGGGCACCAGGCCCAGGTGTGGACTGTCCTGTGATGTTTCTGTCATGGAGATGACAAAGCGCCCCCCGGGCCGCCCTTTCCTCGCTTATCTCCTCACTGAGGAGCTGTCTGACTTTTGCTGGCTTCCTTGAGGTGGGTTCCCTTTGCTGAGGCACGTCCAGAGCATTATCAAAGATGGAAGGATTTGCTAAGGCCCGGCCTGCAGACGGGCTGTTTGGGAGAACCCAACCTAGCCGGCCACGCGAGGTCTGGGACATTCCAGCAATGACTCTTTCCCAAGAGTCAGGGCAAAACTGTAGGGAATTTTGTATTGATTTGGGGAATGTTCAACTTATTCTATTGAGCTAACTCCCTGGCCCCCTGTATATACTAAATGGAAAAAGAGAGAGCAGGGTACAGGTGGGAGAACCGAAGCAGGTCAGCTTCCAGACGTGCCCCGCCTGAGCAGGGAGTGGAAGGGGGTGTCGGCCTTGCGCTTCGTGGGGCTGCTTGACTAAAGGTGGGAAAGAGGGAAGCCGGAGCCCCAGCTCAGTTGGGAAGCAAAGGTGTCCCCAATGTTACTTCTAAAGGGAGTGCAAATCCAAGACCACTTTGCCCAACACTGGGATTCTGGTGTCTGTGAAAGGAGAGGCGCAGTTTGCCACAGAACAGGAGGTCTGGATCAGTTTGCTCTGAGCAGGAGCCCCTGGTCGGAAACGCCAACGCTGGGCCAGAGACCCTCCACCGCTTGGGAAGGGTCAGGGTCTGCGCCGCCGCGGCAGGCTCTCCTGCGATTCCCACGCACAGCAGTTTGTAATAAAGTACTAGGAAGCGAGTGGATCAAACCTGACCTCCAAAAGCACTGTCTGTCTTGCCTGCAGCACCACACCTGAGTTTACGCATCCAGCCTGACGCAGGCAGCCTGGCGGGTGGAACGTGGCTCACCATCACCTGCGATGGTAGGTTTGGGTACCCCGCCAGAGTCCTCGCAGGTCTGCAGAAAGCAAGTCCTGGCTTTCCTCGCTGGAGGGTGGGTGTGAGGACGGGCTGCAAAGGGTGGACGGGTCTGCGTGGCTAGCTGTCGGGTGCTCACAGGCTCGCGCCCAGGCGCCTCCAGGGAAGTCCATCCTCCGCTCTCCAGCGGGGCGTGGGGTTCTAGGAGCGCTGAAGGAGACCACGTTACGTCCCTGTCACCTAGTCCAGGTTCTGGTGTACTCCTTTTGATGATTCTGTAGCTGAGATCTTCTAAACCACGGCTTAGTGTGTCCATTTGTAGCACGGTGCAGAGTGACTCTGAGGCCTGAAACATTCTTTCTTGGCTTCAGGCGAACCTGAACAGCGGTTATTTTCCGTAAGCCTGTGCGTAAGACGGCTGCATTCTATAGCAGGCGCGAATGCCTTTGGAGTGTGAGCTGAACCCCGAGACGCACCATGCCTCGCACTGCCCCCACGAAGCCACGTTTTTTGCACTGACCTGTGCGGATGACAACGGCTCAGGCTCGGGTTTGCTCTTTGCCTTATGCTCAGGTTTGGACCCAGGCGTCCTCTACCCCCGCAACGGCTCCCAGCTGGAGATAAGCCTGGTGAGCGTGGCCGCGCCAGCCTTGCCCGGAGTCCCCTGTGATGTCACTCCCGTTTTCTTGGAGGCGCCTGTGGTGATGTGCCAGACCAGGTACCCTAGCTGGGCAGGGTGGGTGGGCCTTGCCACCTCGGTAGCGTTTGGTGGCATGGTGCAGCGATTCCTTTTGTGACTACAATGATCCACTACAGTTTCTGGAACTTTTCTGAGTGAATAGACTCCTTCAAAGGTTCCCACCAGGTCTCTAGGGCTCAAGGGGAGATGAGTGAACGGGGAAGAATACAAAGATGCTTGCGCTGATTGTGTATAAATCCAAAGCCAGTGAGGAAAGCAGTGTGCTTTGGCTTAGTTAGCTTTTTTTTTTTTTTTAATTTAGGACAAGGTGTACAGGGTGTACAGGGTCTCACTGTGTAGACGGACTCGTAGCGATCCTCCTGTTTACAGCCTCCCAAGAGCTGGGATTACAGGTGTGCCACCATGCCCAGTCTCAATCGTTGTCTCAGTGCACCCCACGGGCAGGCCCAGGGATCAAACTCCCGGCGCCTGCGTCTGCCTAAGCAGGTGCTTAAATCCGCTGAGCTGTTTGGCTGGCCCCTCACTTTGCTTTTACTGTGCTTCTGCTGAGGAAGTACTTGTTCAGGACTCCAGGTCCAGCTGTTCTACTCAAAGTTCACTAGCCTACGAAGTCTGTGCGCGTTCCTCCTTTCTTTATGCACGTCGTAGAGATGTGGCTGAAGGTGTACCGCTGGAGAAGGAAAGGTGCCGTCACCTCCTCTTGGCTTCTGTTCCTACTTTCAGGAAGGCTTCTCTCCTCCATATCTGCTCACTGAAATCCACTGGCTGTACTCCATGCACCATCCCATCCCTGAGCTCACTGCTTGGCAAAATCTTTACATTTATTTATTTATTTATTTATTTATTTATTTATTTGATACAGGATCTTGCTACACTGTGTGCCGGGGGTTCCGTGGCTGGCACGGCATGCGGTGTCAGGGATCGAACCCCAGTCCGTGTACTTGCCAGGCAGGTGCTTAGACCACTGAGCTATCTCCTCAGCCCTCTTTCTCTTTTTTTAAAAGGGAAGAAGGAAACGTTTTTTAGTTGTTCAACCACAGGATGCATATATGCCCACATACTGTGCTCTGATCTTGTTTGCTTTTATCTTTTATTTTGTAAAAGGGTCTCATTATGTAGCTCAGGCTGGCCTTGAACTACCAGCCATCCGTCTTCTCAGCCTCCGGAGTGCTGGGATTACAGCTGTGTGACACCACACTTGCCTTTGTGCTCTCATCCTGAAGGGGGACCTTTTGTAATTTATATAAAAGTACAGCATGTACCTTAGTGACCTTGTTTCTTCAGTCCCGTCTTTCTCATGATAGTTAGCCAGCTGAACTTGTTAGCTTCATCCTCATAGAATTCAGTGCTTCCAAGGTGGGGTGTGCGTTTGCTCTCCCCAATGTGGTGCTTCTGGGACACTGAACAATACCTTTTAGGTAGACAGCATTCAACCCATATCTGTTCAGTGATCCTCAATTTTTATTTTGGTGCCAGGAATTGAACTCAGGACCTTGTGCATGTCAGGCAAGCACTGTACCACTGAGCTATATTCCTGACCCCTCAATGAGCATCTTATAGCATCATTGATTTTAAAACTGATTATGCTTTCTTTTGGTCTCATGGTATTCGTAGGCATAGACTTTCTACAAGAATTTGTCTTGAAATAAGTAAAATTCTTAGGATTTATATACATTTGATCTCAGTTCCAATTACTAATGACATTAAGATGCACCATTGGTTTTATGACATCTTTTTAGAGAAAAAGAAATACACCCTCTTAGTTATACTAATTGACTGGAAGAGAGATATGAAATTCATTTAACATTCAAGTGTAAAAAATTATAGTTTATCATCAGTGAAATAGTGCCATATTCATTATAAAAAGATTTAACTGCTTTCTCTAGAGCAGTCATTGCAGTGTTAAAATCAGTACTGTTCAAGAACCTAACTTTAAAGTAATTATAAGTGGATGTAGGAAGTAAAAGATGAAATATCAGAAGGTTTGGTTACCTCCGTTTTATAAATGCTGGGATAAGATCAGCAGTGGTCAGGAGCTGGGTGTGCGGGAGCCCAAGGCTAGTGACTGCTAAGGATTCCACTTTCTCTCCTCAGATCCCTGCTGTCCGAAGCCTACGAGGGCCTGTACTCCCTGGAGGTGCGCTCTGGTGGACAGGTTGTGTGCAGCCCAGGCCCAGGCCCACAGGACAACTGCACTTTCAAGGTGGGTTCAAAGGATGCAGAAATGTGTGTTTGCCTAGTTGGAGAGTCTGCCTGTGTCGTCCACAAGGTATAAGTCAGTCAGAGCCCACTTTTAGAGAATAAGAAGAAAGACGGGTGACAGTTATGGGGCTTCTGGTCAAAGCCGAGTGTTAAGCGCTGTGTGTCAGGCTCTGGCTGGCTGCCCATGTACATTGTGCATGTGTAATACACTGATTTATGAGGTACTCATTTATTATACAGTGCTTAGTGATGAGCAACTGAGGCTGAGGGAGATTAAATAATTTGCCCAGGGCATCCAGGCCATAAGTGGCAAGACCAGGACTTGCACCTGCCCTGCCCCTAAATCCACACTTCACCTGAAGTTCACAGAGGGGCCACAGAGGTCCCCTTTGTGGATTAGTATTTCATTGAAAGTGAACTCATGAGGGGACTCTGGGACACAGGTGTCCTGGTGAAGAGACCCACAACCTACTTGTGCCTGTGCTTCAGGCTAGGTTTCTGCTAATCTTTCTGGTACTAGACTGGAAAAGGCATTTCCTGGGGAGATTACCTTTTATGGGGTTCAATGATGGGGGGCAGGGAGAGAAAGAGAGGAAAGAGAACGAGGAGGGGGAGGGGGAGAGGCAGCGGGAGAAAGAATTAATGAGGACAAGACTTAATTTAGAGCCTCTGCATCTATCCTGATACTTGAATTCAGGTTTGGTTCAGTCTACAATCCATACCTGGCCGGTTTTACACTGACATGATCTCTGAAGGTAAACTCTAGGCTTCCTTTAAGAGGCAGAGCTCTGGCACTGCCTTAGCAAGGGCGCCTCTGTGTGAAGAGCAGCTTCCAAGAGCTCAACTGAGCTGCAACTGACACTCTTGGAGAGGCAAGAGGCCGCCTTCCACATTCACATCTAACATGATTCACATTTTTAAAAAATTTTATATATTTGGTACAGGGTCTTGCTGTGCAGCTCAGACTCTTAGTGATCCTCCTGTCTCAGCCTCCTCAGGGCTGGGATTACAGGCATGTGCCACCATTCCCAGTCTCAGATCTTGGTGGCCCTCAGCATGCCCAGGGGTGGGGTTGGCGTGGCAAGTGGTGCTGAGGAAAGGACCTTGGCCCTTGCGCTTGCCTAAGCAGATGCTTAGTCCACTGAGCTATCTCGCTGGCCCTCTGATTCACATTTTATATAGGAAATTTGGTTTTGAATTAGAATTTGCTGTCCACTTCCACTTAACATTTTGTTTCTCAGTCCATGAAAATCTTTTTTTTTTTTTTTTTTTGTACATTTGCTTCTGCCCATACTGAGCAGAAAGAAAAATAGTTATATCGCCTTTTCTAATAGAGGCTGGGCCACCACCTCTACACATCTCAAGGAATATAACAAGAGAGAGAAGGCCACTCATCCTTAATTACCATGCCACATTTTACCCCAGACAGTACTTTTCTTACTTAGTAAAGGATTAGCTAGGATAGAGAGGGAAAGAAGAGAAACACATCCTGAAATTGCACATCAAAGGAAACAAGCACAGTGTGGTGAACTGATGAAGAACCACCAGGGAGGCAGTTGACGAGAGGCATTCCAAGCTAAATAAAATACTCTGTGGCTCTTCGTTTGGGGACAGGGACTGGGGAAATGTGAATATTAAAAATTAATTTCATCTTGCCAGTCCACTCCGAAGAGCCTGCTGGGGGCATGACAAGTTTGAGCAGCTTGCGGAAAGTTCGTGAAGCAGCTGGTGGCAGCGGCTTTATCACTCTAATCCACCACTCCCCCACCTCTCTCGCTGACCTTGCTAGGGCTCGGGGATCAGCATGCGGGAGGCTTGATTTAGAAGCTCATTAATTTTTCACCGTCGTGTATCTTGCCTGGTGGGTGACTAGGGGCCTGTTTCTCTTAGAAATGTACATTCTACGCTGTGTCAGTTCAGAAAGAATCAGAAGTGAAGCCTTTTTTGTGGCTTAACCCTGAGAATGCACTGTCACATTCTGAGGACTTTGCAGAGAGCAGTGGAGAGGTACCAGTGGTCACAAACTGCTGGTAGAAGGACTGCAGGCAGTGGGGCATCTAACATCTCAAACTGGGAAAGGAGAGGCATGCTTCTTTACTTGGTCAGAACGCTGAGGTTCCTTCTTCCGCATTTTATAACTTGTGCAAGGTGGGGCAGGGGCTGTGCTCTCCCTGCCGGTGCTCCTGTGGTAAAGGTCCGATGGAAGTGCTGAAGGCTGATGGCCGTCCCCGCGGGAGTGGACCGCTGGGCAGGTGTGCATGCAACTAAAACACTCTTATCTTTTGGTGAGATCAGAGCCAGGTCCTCATCTGTGAAGCTGCAACGTTCTGCTCTTGACCCCCTGGCTGGCCCTACATTCTGGGAACTGTTTTCTAATCTTTTCCTGTAGTGATTTTGCAGATAAGCTCAGTGACACATGATATAGCTATGTGGATCCATACGGAGAACCGCGCTTGACAGGCGGTGTCCACTACTTGTTGATTCCCAGTGTCTGTTTCGGGCTGTTGATTAACAAGTTATTATTCTCTGGTGATATTCTCCCTGGGCAGATGGACTCCTTCGGTGCTGGAAGCAGACCCAGCAGAACTATTTGCTTTAGTTTGTCCTACAAAGGGGAAACAGCATAGAGTGTGGATGGGAGGCCATCCAGAGGCCCAGGGAAGGCGGGTGGCTGAGCCTCCTCCTGGGTAGAGGACTGAGGCTCATGGCTCAAACCTTGGCCTAGTCTGTCCATCCTCCCTCTGCCTGCCTCATCTTCCTAAAGACTTATTATTATGTTGTGCTGGGAAATTTTGAACTCTTCCCCCAATTTTTAAACTAAAATCTATGACAAATTGCCGTGAGCTCTGTTCATCCTGCTTGTGCCACAGAACACCAGTACTAGTTTCTATCTAACAGTTCTTCAGTACCTGCTACCCGACTCTCTCTACCGCTGGTCTCCTCTACCATTCCTGGCCTCCAGTCGGGCCATCCATCCTTATGTTTCTCCATTTCTTCAGACTGGCCCAGGAGTAATTTTCTAATAGAGTAGTAACTAGTCTCACAATAGCCCCAAGCCTACAACTGAAGTTGTAGCTGTAGTAGAATAGAAGGTAAGATGGCACAGAATTCCTCCAATAGCCTCGGCCCATCTTTCCCTCTCAGCAGTGTGGTGGTCATCCTGGGTTGGGCTACTTGGTTCATTTTCCAAAATTCAGATGTCTTCTCCATTCTAGGCTGTTGACTCTTCTGTGCAGAACTTGTGCTTAGTGTGATGTATTTCATGTGGAAGGGCACTGTAATTGGATTTGGAGTGTCCAGGACAGCCTTGGGGAGGTTCAGACCTCTCCTCTTGTTTCCATTTTTTAAAAAATTATTTATTTTTTTTTAAATTTTATTTTATTGGGAAACAAATAGCAATGAGACAGTTTCAAAACTGATTAATAGGACAGTTTCATTAATTAATACATTGTACATTGTTATCTTCTTAGTGGTTATCCATAGTACAAGATGCAGACAGGATATTCTGTCCAAACACTGTTAGTACAAATCTGTCTTCTCATTGAATTAAGTGAAAGTAGCTGTATATCTATCTTAACTATTCTGCATATACAGATACAAAATGGTCCTTCCTTTGTATCCCCTTTTTTTGTTTAGTCCTGTCAGAGATGGGTATTCCATTGGCATCTAAATACTATAGGTTCTTGAATTCAGCAAAACAATCCAACACAGTCCAGCAGTTCACAATAGTAGTGGGTTATCTGTAGAAGTTGTTGACTTGATTTTTTGGGTGGAACCGGGGATTGAACTCAGGCCCTTGTGCTTGCCAGGGAAGCACTATTCCACTGATCCATCTCCCTGGCCCAGAAGTTGTTGACTTGAGCCTTGAAGAACAAAGTGGCTTCCATTTCTGGAGCCTCTCGCCTCACTTTCCCGCCCCCAGGCAACCTTCCAGCTTCCTTAGGTAGCCTCCTTTGCAGACACACCCAGCTGCTCATTTTTTGTGGCTGGCTGATTCCTACCAAGACACTGGCTGATAACAGTTGAAAATACAGTCCCCAGTGAGTGAACACCGTGGCCTTTGGGATGGCAGCTCACCACGATAACTTCCTGGGGGTGGCGGTGGGCAGGTAGAAACAGGCCTGTCCAGAACTGGACAACATGGTCCAACCTTGATCAAATTCCCTTTACTTCATATGCACAATAGCTCCTATCATTTCTGTTTCACAGAAATATGAGGCTGAAAAGAAGTAGGCAGGAAGGTAGTTCAAGAAGACACACCATATTGTATGCTAGTCTAATGTTCTAAGAGCGGTGGCTACTGCCTCTTGTGTTCATGGATAAGCTAATGGAATTCTCTCTCCTGATCCTATTTTCTAAACAGTTTTCTAAGGCACAGACACCTGTTATTCACCACGTTAATCCATCAAGTGGAGTTCCAGGTAAGAAGTCTTCTGTCAAATTGAAATTGTTGGAAACTCTCCTATGCAGGTGGTGGTCTCGATAAGAGGGATAATTCAGCTTCTCTGCCGAAGTTGTTTTGAGAACAAGCAACAGCCTCCGGTTCATCCCCCGCCCCCATTCATTTTTAACCTAGTCTGGCCTCCCCTTTGGGCATTTTCATTCTATTGCTTCACTGATAAGAAAACCAAAACATGATGAGAAAAAAAGTCTAGCAAAATCAAACCAGTGAGGGCTAGAGAATGGAGGAAGTAGAAATCATTACTGCTCTTAGCTTTATAATCATCCCCATGATAATGAACTTTTATTAAAAGTCTGCTGTGTTCCAGGTTCCACTCTAAGCTCCTAATTTATGTTATCTTATTAGGTTTTTTTTTTTTTTGTGGAATCGGGGATTGAACTCAGGTTCTTGCACTTGCCAGGGAAGCGCTTATTCCACTGAGCCATCTCCCCGGCCCTTCTTACTAGATTTTAAAAGCCCAACAATATAAGAGTTATTATTTCCACTTTGACAAGCTGAGACTTCAACCCATGTCTACCTTTTGCTTTGTGTTGAGGCCCATGTCTACCTTTTGCTTTGTGTTGAGTAGTATAAGCCGCTTGGACAGCCATTAGCTCTAATTTGTGAGGTAGAGAATACAGGTGTATAAAGGCCAGGAAGGTAGAAGAGAAGAAAACTGTGTACAGTTGCAGGTTTTAAATAAAGAAGGGATTGCGACCCACAGATTCTGGAACTGCTAAATCTGCACTAAAAAGTTTAGTAAACACAGCTAGGATTATATATAGTCTACAGTCTTGTCTCTGCCTCTATTTTGGGATTTTCATTTGGCCAGAGTTTCCAGACTGACCTAAATATGGGGATATATGCTATTAAACTTTTTTTTTTTTTTTTGGTGTGGAACCAGGGATTGAACTCAGGCCCTTGCATTTGCCAGGGAAGCGCACTACTAAACTTTTATATGTGGCTTTATCTAAATGCATAAACTGCCCTAATTGTTTTGATTGGCTTGATTAATCATGAATTCCAGAATAAATATCTACGTTATTCAGAACTATTTGTGTTTTGTTTGAACATATATATAGACACAGATTAAAATACATATATCTATATGTCTGTATATCTGAAACTGACATTATTTTACTCATGTGGGGTTTTCACAGATCTGCCTCATTGCATTAGTCTGAGGAACCAGTACATGGAAGTGGAAATGTTGTATTAAAATGAAAATTTAAACCATGTGCAGCTATTTCGGTTCCTGCTGCTTGGCCGTGGAAAGCTCTTGTCGAGATGGCAGAAGTCTTGTTAGGGCGAGGCGCGGAAGGAACCAGCTGTTGGACGTGATTTGGGACGTCAGCGAGGGCCGCCGCCGGCCCGCCTCTCCCGCTGGGCAGGAGCTCTGCGGCCGCTCCTTCCACCTGCTGCGGGCGGGCGGGCGCGGTGGGCGGCGGCCGGCTGGGTGGTCCCTCCGGGCACCGGCTGCGCGGCGGCTGCGCTTCCGCGATCGCGTTCCCGATGACCACTCTCATTGCGGGTGGCCGGTCCGCGCGTGCAGCGCGGGCCTTCGAGGCGAGGGCTTGCTTGCCGCCCTGGACCCTCGCCGTGAGCCGCTCAGCAGCCTCTTTGTGGCTTTTTTTGTTTAGAAACAAAACAAAAACTCACAGGCTCTCCTAATTTATATAATCTGTGACTTGTTTTTAAAATCCTGTTTTTAATGCTAAAGAATCAGTGGTGTAGCTGTGTTAGCTAGCGAGAACGATTCTGCCAGTTCTTAGCAGCAGCAGGAAAGTCGGAGGTGCCAGACTTTGACTAATTCTGTGACCTGTGTCTGAGTCATGGAGTCCCACCGCTGCTGCCCATCGACTCTTCAGTGGTTGTTTATGCCTGACAGGGTCTCATTGCCTCAGTGCAAATCGTCCCTCGTGAGACACGCCCTCCTCTCGTGCTGTGCCCTCAAACACAGCACAGAGGAAGGTCTGGGTGCTGTTCTTTAGGGATACTTAGTGTCCATGAAGAACCTCCAGTCTTGTGGATTCCGTGATCTCATGAACCCCAGAGAGACTAGTTTCTCTTCTACTTCTTCAGGCTTTATATTACTGCACAATACCTCTCTCACCTCTAAGAAGTTTCTGTGATATAGAAAGTTGGAGTTTAGATGAGTAAATTCCCTATTTAAAAGGCTTATCATGGGTCTGGAGAGATAGCTCAGTGGTCTAAGGGCCTACCTGGGAAGTGCAAGAACCTGGGTTTGATTCCCTGTACTTTCTGCTGTGCCACTGAGCTGGCCACTTAAATTAGGCATGGTGGCGCACACCTGTAATTCCAGCACTGGGGAGGTTGAAACAGGAGGATCACTACGAGTCCAAGCTGTGTAGTGAAACCCTGTACCAAATAAATAAATTTTAAAAAAGGCTCATCATGTGGTGAATTTTAACTGTATCATCTTTCTGTGATGTGTTTGTCTAAAATTTTGTCTTGCGTCATTGCTAAAGTCTGAGTGGAGCTAAATTTTAGATTGACATGTCAGCTCATACAGTATCTGGTTAGAGAATCACAAACTTTGAGAAGGAGCAATGTGAGATGACTTATGCTGCACCCACTAGCAGCGTGAGGTGCGCCCTGCTCAGAGGGTTTGCTGAGCCTCTGCACCTGTGCTCGTGGACTGAAAGGGGAGCAGGCAGGTCAGGGAGAAGCACGACACCCAGCAGAGATCCCTGAAAGCTGGTAGAGGAGACCCGGAGGTAGACGACCTCATCCCTGCCTGTGCCAGTGGGTTAGGCAAATATAACAGCTTCCAGATGCCTGATTTGCCCTATTATTGTTCCTCCTTTTTAAGACACAGTCTTCCCATGTTGCCTGGCCTGACCTCAAATTCTTGGGTCGAGCAATCCTCCTGGCTCAGCTGCAATGGCTGGGACCATGGGTAGATGCCATTGTGCCCGGCATGTTCTGTCTTTGAAGCCTATTTACCAAGTAGGTGAGATGTGCTGGTGTTGCTCCTCCAATCCAGAATGCAGGCTGTTCTGTTACTTCTTCAGATTCTGTCCACCTGGGTCACCCATGGTATTTATTTTCTGCACTTTGAGATATGGAAAATAGTGTAGAATCTCTGAGGACCCATGAGATTATGTGATATGAACTTGTTTGTGTTGCTTTCTAATGTTCTTTATTTTTTAAATGACACAGAAACTTGTATATATTGATGAGGTTTTAGCTGATGTTTCAAATTATATATATATATCTAGGTGAGCATATCTATCTCCTGTTGTGCCATGGGACACCAGAACTTATTTTTTCCATCACTCTTGATGACCAACTTCTTTCACCCCTGTTCTCCTGCCTCTGTTAACCACTATTCTAGTCTCAGCTCCTACAAAATCAGCTTTTTAGACTTTCACAGGAGGGAGGTCACATGGTGCCAACTGTTTGTTTTAGCAAGGATCCGGAGGAAAGTCTCATGACCACGAGGCACCCCAAGGCTGTTCTTGCATCCCCCTTGGGTGGGTACCCTATGAGAGGAAACAGGGTGGTGTGCAGAAGTCAGCCCTCCTTCCTGGATTTTCTCACTTAGGAAACTGGGAAGAAGAGCTAGTATCCCTTCCGTGCTTTGTGCATAGATAATTAAATCTGTGTTTGAAATAATTGCTTATTTAGCCTTTTTAGTGAATTATAATGATGACATCATGTGGCTTGCCTTTAGTATCATGTAGTTTATCAAAAGTGTTAGTTTAGGCATTATGACCAGCTTTGGAATACTGGGGGTCAGTAATCCAAAACAGTTTCATTATACATTAAGAGTCTGAGCTAATACATTAAATTTTTAAAAACTCATCTTAACACAGGAAAGTTAATACATGTAGATGGCTGGATTATCACGGGAAGGCTAGAAACCTTTGATGCTGATGCCGAGTACATTGATAGGTAAGCATGTCTTGGTGTGTTTGTTTCCATGTTCAACATGTTCCATGTTTGGGGGGTGGCTGCCTGGGGCCCGCTTCCATGAAGCTGCTGTCACAGAATTGCTATTTCTCTGTGCTGTTCCTGTTCCCTGATGAGCTGGGATTCAGCTTTTTCTTTGTTAATGCAATCGCTTCTGGACACTTAAGCTGGTCCATTTATTTGCCAACAGCCGGCCACTAGGCTCTGCATGACCTGTGTGGTGGTCCTGTCTGTGTATTTTCTGTTTTGATTCTACCCTTTTTCCCTTGTCCCACAGGCTAAAGTAAATTCTTTGTAAAATGATATGTAGACCTCAATCCCATTATAACGTTCTTATATGGTTGTCATTTACTTGTGCATCTAGAAATTCTGTTAGTGGGATAAAGAGAAAACCTGGGCTTAGGTACCAAGGGCCGCTGTGTTTGCAGGATTTTCTGGGAGTGGTCAAAATGTCAACACACCTTTCTTCATTAGAACCTTGTTATGTAGAAAATTTTCCTAAGAAATCATCCATGGCAGGGAGAGAGGAGAATAAGGAAAAGGACACTGAAATTTTGCAGTTTGTGGGAAACTATGCAATTTAGTATCATTCTTCAAGTGAAACGTACTGCAGTATGGACTTGTAAGGCATGGGCAGCACAGGCTCACTATGGACCAAGCTGCACGCCGCATCTGATTTTTCCATTCATCCCTGGAGGGGTTGGAGTCATCCTCCTTTTTTCTCTATTTCTTTGATGCTGATCTACATTTCTGGAGTTAAGCAACCATCAATTTGTCTCCTAAGGAAATTACTCTTTCTGCTGGAGATGGAAATCCTAAGGACTGTCCTGACAATACGCTAGATTCACTGTTTGGGTTCATCTTATTGTCGGCTGGTGATCCAGTCTTGGAGAGGTAGAAGAAGGCATGGATTCCACAGTTGTCATGTGGGGCCTGATTTAGTCAAGGTGATGATGAGGACTTTTTGGGGGGTGCAGTGCTCCCTGGGTGACGTGAATGCAGTGTGGGCTCAGTGCCCACTTGGGTTGAGAATTTGATACAATGTCCTCTGAGGGCCCAGCACCCTGCCCCCGCCATTGTGTCCAGAGGGAAATGCTCACCACTGTGTCTCTGCTGACTTTCGGCCTGAGTGTTCACTGCTACGTGATTGTCTCCTATGTTTTGTTTCCTTTTTGTCATCCAGCCCACTGGTCTTGGAGGCTCAAGGAGAAGAATGGATCACTTCTTGTTCTCTTATAGACAGGCACACAGGAGGCCAGTGAGTATCTTTCTTTTCTTGCTGATGATGTATATTCTTCATGTGGATATTACACACACACACACGCACACACACACACACACACACACACACACACACATACTCTTTTTGAAAATGTAAATCACTTATAACTGTTAGCTTCCTTATCTTGAGACTTAGTGGCAAAGGTAGGAACTGATTCAAAATGTAAAATGAAATAGACTCTGGAAGTGGCAACTTTCTTGAAAACAAACCACCAGTACTGACTCAGGGCCTTCTTAGGCCACGGCTTGCTCTAATGCTTTATAGCGAGGTCACTCAATAATTTTGTGGGTATGTATGGTTGTTTGTCTTTTTACAGATAAGGAAACTGAGGCACACAGGGGTTTAAGTAACTTGCTCAAGATTTCATAGGCAGGAAGTCTCAGAGCTTGGACCAGACCTCTGTCTGACATACCAGCTCCTAAGGCTTATGCTCTTAACTATTATATTAGAAGAACTAGCCAAAGAAAAAAATGGCTGATTTTTTTCCTATTTAGGACAGGGCCTACAGGGTCTTACTACGTAGATTGGACTTGTAGTGATCCTCCTGTTTTTCAGCCTCCCAAGTGCTGGAATTACAGGCAGGTGCCACCACGCCCAGTCTCAATCGCTGTCTCAGAACGCCTGGGTGATGGGGCTGGCACAGCATGCCAGGGATTGAATCCAGGCTCAGTGCTCTGCCTAAGCAGGCACTTTAGTCCACTGAGTGGACTAAATTTTAGGCTGGCCCTAAAATATGAGAAGGATTTTTTTTTTTTTTTTTTTTTTTTTGGCTGGCTCAGGCTGCCTTAAGGGCAGGTCTGTTTTGGCATGTGGTGCTGGGGATGGAACTGCAGTCCCTTGCCCCTGACTGATTTTGCTCAAGAAGGTGCTTTAGACAACTGAGCTAACCTGCTAGCCCCCTAAAATGCCTGATTTTTGAAAAGAAAATGAGTGTCTAAATGTCACTTAACCAATATTTTGCTGGATTTTTACCTCATCCTGGACTAGGTGGCTTAATCTGCTTTGAGAGAATTACAGGAACTACATTCTATGGCTTAGCTTTTTAGGACTAGTGTTGAATAAAGCCAGATTGTATAATATAGTTTTTCTTTAGTTTGTCTTCCCAGCATTGTCCTTTGGACTTCATGTGTTTTTTGATAAGGATTTTGCTATTCTTGCCATAGAATAGATTTTGGAAAGGGAGAACCAAATGGCACTTCAGAGTGAGTTACGTTTTGTCTCTCCACACAATGTGTCAGCCTGGGAACATACAGTGTGATAACTCTTGTCAGCATTACCCCCAAGTTGCCTCAATGAGCCCATTCTGCCTTTTGCGCCTATCCATTCTCTCTGGTGACATCACCTCTTTTCTTATGCATTCCTTTCCTGATTGGAGGGCCAGAGCTGAACTGAGTTGTTTGGTAGTTCTCACTCTGTTTGTTTCCTCCTTAGCTACCCTCTCTGGGAAGACCGTGGCCTTGGGACGCTGACGTGCCGTGTGGAAGGCGATTACATAGGTCTGGTAGAGAAGTCAGATCATTTCAAAGTCTTACTCATTTCTTTCTCTGAATACAAGGAAAAAGAACAACTTTAAGAATTAGTTCTCAAGAGAATAATAATGATGATGCTATTTGTTGAGAAAACTCTAGAAACAATGGTGTTTATAGTACAGTCTATAGAGACTAATTCAACCCCTATGATAGATAATGAGGTTGGTGGAACTTTTTTCATTTTCAGGTGAGAAATTTTGACCTGGTAACAAGTGGATTGGGGTTTAAAACAAGCTCAGCCTAAACCCATACCAGGGCTCTTACACGCTATGAAGCACTGTGTTGTTGTTGCATTGTTGGAATTGCATGTTGTCAGGGGTGCTAAGCCTGGGAGCTGATTCTTTTGAGCACTACTGAACAAATGATAGCATTAGGTGGCAATGGGATGGCACTGGGGTGTTTGGGTAGCAGCCTGGCCCTGGAGAATCATGGAGATTTCAGTATTAATATCTTCTCTATGTTTCAGGCTCCCAGAATATTAGTTTTTCGGTGTTTAACAAAGGAAGGTAAGTATCTAGGAGCATACCAGCTTGCCTTCATCTTACATTATCTACCCCTCCCCTTGCTTTTTCTAACATTTATAATAGGTAATCCAGCCATCCACCAGTGTGTTTTCTTGAGTTGTGTAAACATAATTGTGTCTGGTGCCTCAGTTGTAGCATTGTGCATCTTTCATTGTAGGCATGATGCACTGAAATTTTGGGAATTACCTCCTAAGTAATCTCAAAGCTCTGTAAATTAAAACTGTGACATATGTCTCATGAAATATTATTTCACAGAGTGCACTATAACATTCCAGAAAGTGCCATATTCAGTATGGAAAGGGTCCAAATGCCATCAAGCTTTGGAGCGATGAATTTGGATTCTGGACTTCTGGATGCTTCGCTCCACATTCCAGCACTGTATAGCTTGCTGGGTCTTGTGCACGTGGGGGTGTATTATCTACCGATATAAATTTTATCGTAATGATGGTGATGCTTTTCGTGTAGTTGTGCAGTCCAAAGTATACAATTTTGTTTTCTTTCTCTCTTCCTCTCAAGAATAAATCTAATGTCTAACATCTGCTGCAGGCTATTTTATGCAAGGCCTTTTCATTCATCCTTCCACTTAATGCTGTGACGTCTCATGAAGTAGCTTTTATTTACAAACAATAATTTTTTGTGTCAGAAAACATACTTTGTCCCACTGAAATTGTTCTAGGGTTACTAAAGTCCCGAACGTTGCAAGAGGTTAGTTCATGATCCTCCTTTCCGGTAGCAGATTTAGAAAATGCAAGCCCAGAAGACGTTGTATCACAAGTAATGCTTTATCTGTCTTGAAGGTCAATGGTGAACAAGAGCGCTTGGCTGGTCAGCGCTAAGCAGGAACTTTTCCTGTACCAGACTCACTCAGGTACTGTGTGCCCTCCTCCTCCTGGCACTGGCTCCCTTCCCTATGCTCCACTCAGCCCTGGGCTCTTGTTTCCTCCAGCAGTTTATCCGTGGCCATCACATCTGCAGCTGCCCCTGCCAGGAGGGCCGGCACTGTGGATTCGGTTGAGGTGAAGGTGCTTCTGTCAGTTCAGCTTTTGTTCCTGTATGTTGCTTATTGATGTTCTAAAAAAGGCATCATGACACTGTCATTGTGGGGACTTCCTAGAGTGCAATTACGCGAACGTAAGTGGTGCAGATCCATCAGGCCACAGGGCTCCTTCGTGTAATCAAGACACAAGGCAAACAGTGCTCTGTGAGCTACTAGTGTAACACTGTATATAGCTTTAAAATTTTTATTTATATTTTTGTGATATTGCAAATTGAATGCTGAATTGTATCCTCAGCATCTATCTATCTATCTATCTATCTATCTATCTATCTATCTATCTTATCTATCTATCTTTCTTTCGATTTATTTATTTATTTATTTATTGGCAACAAGGTGCAGCCTGTTAAGTTACTCTGGCTGAGCTCATGCTTACCATCCTCCACCTCCTAAATGCTGGGATTATAGGAGTGAAACACTGCTTGCTCCTAGTTTTCTAGTCAGTGTTTTATTTTATTAAGTGCTACTGTGTCAGTCCTAGCTGTGAACTTATTGGCCTCAGAATTGCCCTGGGGTTAGCACAGCACATTTCTGGTGTGTCTGCATGGGCTACAATGTTGTGGCCTTGTGTGCTGCCTTTGGTCCCTGGCCCCTGGCTCCTTTCGCTCTGCTCTAAGGAGCTTTGCCTGGCCATACCCTTCTGCCGTAAAGTCTGTACTGAACCTTCTGCAACTGTAAGCCACATAAGATTTCCTCCTTTAAGCTGTATATGGCATTATGTCCCACCAGTAGGAAAGCTAACAGAGAAGTGGCAGGATTACACTCTGTGACAATTATGAAAAGTATGGTGCAGCAAGCACGTAAACCAGTAACATGGTAGTGGTTTGCTATTACCAAGTGTTAGGTGCTGTACACAATTCTGTGTGCTACAGTCTTCTATGACTGGCACCGCAAGAGGTCATTTACACCAGCCTACCTACAAACACATAAATAATGCAGTCTGCTATGCATGTTATCCTTAGAACAGTTACGAGTAGGAAATATGTAGTTTTCAGCTTCTTTATGATTTTATTTGATCACTGTTGTTGGCTGATACATTGTTTTAGGGTACATGACTACATTAAAAGAAGCATGTTTGTGGACTTCTGTATAAGATCCAGGGGTGTATACTGAATAGAAAGGGAGCCATACCTTGTCCGATGTTACAAAAAATAAAACAGAAAAGACTAGCACCTGTGAATCTAAAGCTCATCTTTCAGCTACACTAGTGCTCCACCTCGTGCATTAGTCAGTAATTTCTGGTCTGCTGATCCTAGTGCTGAGCCATTTTGTTGCCATCTTCTAAGCAGACACTCACAGAGAACCAGTGCTAAGAGTTGGAAACAAGATTGCAAAGTCAGTTCAGAAGTAGAAAGTTGGCTGCTGAAGAAGTGCATCGCTTCTAGATTTTCGTGCCCTCATAATGCCCCTGGAGACATGGCAATGAGGAATGCTGAGGTTCCAAAAGTAGCCGGAATCGAGCTTGGCTAAAAATGCCCTCTGTCTTAGTTACTCTTCTCTCGTTGCTGGGACAAATACCCGACACTCAAAATGAAGGAAGGAAAGGTTTATTTAGCTCACAGTTACTGGAGGTTTCAGTCCATACTCAGCTGGGTTCAATGCAGAGCAGCACAGATCAGAAAGCAACTTTTCATGGTGGCGGCAAAGAGCAAGAGTGCAAGGGAGGGGTAGCAGCAGCTCAAGCAGCTAGCTTCTCTTCCCACCTTACATTGTAATGCAAATCACCTGCCCCAGGGTAGGGGAAGTACTCACACCTATGGGTACTTCCCAGTATTTACCCACCTATGGGTAATCCCAGCAGTACTAAGACCCATAATCCCAGCCTTGGATTACACATAATCCCAGTGGATCATGAGTTAACACAAACTCTAGAAGTCCTCACCCCATGACTGCATGAGGCTTTGGGGGGACAACTAGACACAAACCATAACACCCTCGATCTCGTGCTCCATACAAAGGGACCTCCACTCTACATCACATGTCTTGAGTTTTGACCCAGCCCTTCTTTGCTTGATACATTCTCTCTAATTTTGCTAACCGAAATCACTCAAATCCTTCTGCTATGTACCTGCCTTTTCTTACCATACTGACTTCCTTGAAGACAGGGACTATTGTGTGTTCATCTTTTATTCCTAGTACCATACAGTAGATTTTTCCATGAATGTCAAAAAATATTATAAAATTTTTACAGTTCTTTTGAAAGTTGAAGAACTTCCTAAATTGCTTTAGTCTGTGACCTGTGTAAATTTGAACAGGTGGTAAAAGAATGTGTTAGTCAGGCATGGTGGCGTGTGCCTGTATTCCCAACTCCTCTGGAGGCTGAAGCACCAAGATCACAGGTTCAGATCAGCTTGGGCTACATAGATAGGGAGGCTTCATCTAAAAAAGTGATGCATTAATCTTAATATAAGTTAATGCAGAAAATTCCGTCAGCATAAAAATGATAAAACTCCATTAAAAGAAGCTTGTTAGGGGCCGGGGAGATGGCTCAGTAGAATAAGCGCTTCTCTGGCAAGTGCAAGGGCCTGAGTTCAATCCCCAGTTCTGCAAAAAAAAAAAAAAAAAAAAAAAATGCTTGTTATTATTGGTGGTAAGTTGTGACCCATTCCTTTTGCTCACTGTGTGTTTGGAGGGTACCCTGGCCCTTCCATGCATTGACCCTTGCATCCCTCTATTCTGAGTTGTCTTTTGGGCAAAGGCCCTGGAGAATACCCTCCTAAAATTTATTTCTGAAATGGTAGTTATTCTTGGCTGGCTTTCCCTTCCACTTGCCTTCAGTTCATCTGAAAACAAAACTCCTCTCCTCCCTAGGGGGAATGGCACTTCAGACTGTCCGAGTCTGATCACGAGAGAGGAAAGGCTGAGAGAAAGTGGAATGCTTGGGGACAAGTGGCGCTTGCTAGCCAGCCTGCAGTAGCACTGTAGCTCAGGTGTACAGCAGCACTGTCGAGGATTCCGACACCCAGAAGCAGTCAGGAGGAGCTGGGCTGAGGGGACATGGTGCGGGCCAGGGCGTAGGGCGTATGCAAGGGTACCGGAGACTGGGAACCACATTTGCTTGCTTAGACCAAATGCCATATTCCTAGGAGAGACCTGAAGCCTGGCCCACACAATGTGACACTGTCTTCTACACCTTGTGAATAAAGTCCTTTGCGCTCCAGAAGATGCAGGTTTCTGAGGAAGCATCATAGCCTGCAGGGCTCTGCGTGTCCTGCAGGGTCTCCGCGTGTCCTGCAGGTGTCCGTGCATTCTGTAGGGGCTCCGTGCGTCCTGCAGGGGCTCCATACGTCCTGTAGGGGCTCCGTGTGTCCTGTAGGGTCTCTGTGTGTCCTGTAGGGGCTCTATGTGTCCTGCAGGTGTCCGCGCATCCTGTCGGGGCTCCATGTGTCCTGTAGGGTCTCCGTGTGTCCTGTTGGGGCTCTGTGTATCCTGTAGGCCTCCGTGCGTCCTGTAGGGGCTCCGTGTGTCCTGTAGGGGTTCCGTGCGTCCTGCAGGGGCTCTGTGTGTCCTGTAGGGGCTCCGTGGTCCTGTAGGGGCTCCGTGCGTCCTGTAGGGTCTCTGTGTGTCCTGTAGGGGCTCCATGTGTCCTGCAGGGGCTCCGTGTGTCCTGCAGGGGCTCCGTGTGTCCTGCAGGGGCTCCGTGTGCCCTGCAGGGGCTCCGTGTGTCCTGCAGGGGCTCTGTGTGTCCTGTAGGCCTCCGTGCGTCCTGCAGGGGCTCCGTGTGTCCTGCAGGGGCTCTGTGTATCCTGTAGGCCTCCGTGTGTCCTGTAGGGGCTCCATGTGTCCTGCAGGGTCTCCACATGTTCTGCAGGTGTCCGTGCATTCTGTAGTGACTCCGTGCATCCTGCAGGGGCTCCGTGTGTCCTGCAGGGGCTCCGTGTGTCCTGCAGGGGCTCTTTGTATCCTGTAGGCCTCCGTGCATCCTGTAGGGGCTCCGCACGTCCTGCAGGGGCTCCGCGCTTCCTGCAGGGGTTTGTGTGTTTTTCAGGGGCTCCGTGCGTCCTATAGGCCTCCGTGTGTCCTGCAGGGGCTCCGTGTGTCCTGTAGGGCTCTGTGTGTCCTATAGGGGCTTCGTGTGTCCTGGGGGGCCCCTGTGTGTCCTGCAGAGGCTCTGTGTGTGCTACAGGGGCTCCGTGTATCCTGCAGGAGCTCTGTGTGTCCTGTAGGGCCTCCGTGTGTCCCTTTCCTTTAAAATACTGATTTATGGTCTTTTCCTTATTTGTATCCATTTAAAGATGACTATTGCTAGTAAAAAGTTCCAACTGTTGCTGGACTTAAAAAGCTAAAGTAAGGAATAAATGATAATAGCTTCTATTATTACCTTATTATCTGGGTCATATTCTGATCTATATTTGGAAGCTAACTTAAAAAAAAAATTCTTACAGAAATACTATCCGTGTCTCCAGAAATGGGGAGCCTTGGCGGAAGAACAGACCTCACCATCACAGGAGACTTCTTCGACAGCTCCGCCCAGGTCACCGTGGCAGGTAGCTGCTGAAATGACTGGAAGTAGCTCGCAGTCCAGGGCGCTGTGGGACCTCAAGCCTGCAGCAGCGAGGGGAGCGTTCATTCCTGTCCACATATTACCCGACTAAGGCACCTGTCCAGGCAGGAGGAATCTTGGTCCTGTCGCTCTGCAGGCGTGTCCCAGGGCAGGTGTCCTGCAGCCGTGTTTGCATGCAGTTTTCTCTTTCTGAGGACGAAGGAGAGGCCTTTTCCCAAAGGCCTACGTCTAGTAGCAACCTCTCTCCTCACCTTCTCTCCGTAGCTGGACCGAGGGGCATTTGCGCTGTACATTCCCCGGGAAAGCCCCGGTAGTGTGGTCTAGAACCCTTCCTTCTGCCAGGCGGGATTCTCCTCGCGTGGGCAACGCACAACCGAGGGCGCACGCCCCAGCCCTGACGTCCCGCTCAGCGCCCAGCCGAGCGGCTCCGCGCCTCCCACTCCCGTGAATCCTGTGTGCGCGGCTCCCGGTTCTCCCTTCCCTGGCTTCTTCCAACTGGGTAACCGCTTCTGCTCTTCGGGCCACATCCTCAGAGTAGAGCCCTCTTGGCTTCCTTCTGCCTCTGCCATCGTGTTGCCCGCGGTGTGTCTAGATCTGCCTGCCTTCCTTGAAATTAAGAAGAAATTCTCCTTAGGCCTTCCGTGCGACATCAGCCACGTGTCTCCCAGGAAGATTGAGTGCTCCACCAGGGCCCCAGGAAAGGGTGCGAGGCTCGCTGCTCCCCAGGCAGGTAAGGAAGCCGCGGGGCAGCTCAGAGCGCTGGCCTAATCAGAGTGTCTGGGTGCGGCCAGAACGTGCTTGGATTCGGTCTCAGCTATTTGACTGGTTGGCTCGGGGAGCCTGGTTGGCTCGGGGAGCCTGGTTGGCTCCGGAAGCCTGGGTCTCTACAGCCACTGCCAAAGCTTTTGCCTCTGGGGCGTTTGGCTCAGATTCCTAGTGACACTGCTCAGTCAGGTGTGTGACCAGGGGACTTCAGTGGAGACTGTGATCCGGAAAACACGGGCACGCACAGCGCTGCAGCTCCTGAGTGAACCCCTAGGCTGCTTCCCTGTGTACTATGGGCCAGGCCTTCCTGTGCTTCCAGCAACAGAATTAGGCAAAGCCAGAGATGGGCACGGGGGCCCATTTAAATATTTTACTCCCCTGTGGGCATCTGTCTGCCTGATGTTTTGAAAAAAATAGAGATGAAGGTGACACCAGCATAAGGCTGTAGTGGGCAGAAGTGACAAAGGCAAGGTAGAAGTGACAAAGGCAACCCACCTGTCTTCGGGTCGAAGCTTCAGTCACGGCTGCAAGCGCTTTGCTGCCAGGCCTTGGACCTGGAGCTTGAGTGAAGCTGAGAGTCAGCGGGGCTGGCCTGGCTGCGGTCTGAGTCCACGCATGCGCTCTGGGGCACCAGGGCCAGCCCCCTGGCTCAACCAGAAGCGGTGAGCTCAATGCCTGCAAGGAGAGCTGCCCCCGGGGGAGGAAGCCATCTAAGAGAGGCCATTGAGGCCTGCAAAAGCAAGCACGGCTTCGGCTTGAGAGTTCTCAAGCTCCCCGAGGTGCAGCTTTTATCTGAGGAAGACTCCCATCCAAGGAAGCCGAACAACCAAAGCCATAGTCAGGACAGCGCATGCGTCCTGCAGCAGGAAACAGCCTGCTCTCTCGCCGAGCAGCTGCTGCTCTGGAGACTCAGGCGGTGGCGGGCGATTACTAGCTGCTCTGGAGGCCAGCAGTGGCCCTCTGAGAAGCTTTTGGGGTTTCTCGCATGGCAGTGGGGCCTAGCGCCATGCAGCCCAGTTCTACAGAGGTGAGAGGGTGTATTGTGCCTCAAGAGGACATTTCGACAGTTACACCGTGGGACGGTGCTGGCAGGTAGAGCCCAGGGATGCTGCTGAACATCAGAATGTCAGCCCTGGTGAGGCTGGAAACTCCGGACGGCATGACGTTCTTCAGATGTGCTCTCCACGTCGTGCTTATCCCTCCTCAGCCTCCTGATTTCAGTAAGTGAGGAGCCGGGATGTAGTCTAGAAGAGCGATGCTTACAGGGCCCCTGCCGCGCACCTGGTGTAGTGTGCGCTGTTTCTCTAGGTCTCTACAGCCCCCTGAGCCCTGAGCTATTATCTGTTTGCTATTTGCCTCATTTTGATGCATGAGGAAAGCAAGATACAGGAGCGGCAAGTAGTTTGCTCCTAGCTACACGTCTAGCAAGGGCAGACTGGAATCCCAACCTGGAGTGGGGCGCGTCCAGGGAGTCAGCCCTCAGCCCACTCCAGCGTCCAGCTCTGGCTGTGCCTGTGCCTTTGGCTTCAGGGTTCGCTTCATATAAAGTACAGATTTAAAATGTCACATGATAGCAGCATGACACATGATGAAATCTGTACAGGTCTAGAACTTGACATCGTGGTACTCTAGAAGGTCAAAGGGTTGCCAGGATCTGGGAAAAGGATTTTTGGAATAAAATTCCCAGGCTGAACGTGACCTCTAAGAGGGTTCTATCCATGTCAGGCTCTGTTTTCAAAACATTTTTTTTTTTTTTTGCATTTTATTTTTTCCCCATAATTTTATTGAGAAACAAATAGCAATGATACAGTTTCAAACCAAATTGGTAGGACAGTTTCAATAATTAACACATTGCATACATTCTTCCTAGTGGTTGCTTGCTGTAGGTAGCCACAGGCACTGGGTGACAATGTCCTTTTCCACTGGAGTGTGGTATGCGTTTTGCTTTTACATTTTGTCCAAGCGTGGCTCCTCTTCTCCAGGTTGGCGAGGAGTCTTGGAGCCCGTTAGAAGGGCCTTCCTGCCCTCTGATCCTCTGAGTCTTTCACTTGCTTTTCTCACCAAGACCGTCTTTGCGAGAGGCTGGATTCTACCCAAGGGCCTATTTTCTGCTCTCTGCGTATTTGTAATATCTGAAGAGTATCCCGAGATGTCTCCGCTTGGGTTCATAGCTTGTACCTGCACCATCTTTCACTCCATAATTTGAAGCAGAGTAGTCGCCAGGTTTGGAGAGGAATGCTTCTGGTGGTCAGGAGGTCCACATGTCTTCCAGGCAATCGAGGGCTTGTTTTGGAAGTTGGAGATGCAGCCGAGGGCTTGGAGCTGACTGAAGCCACCCCTGGGTACAGGAGGCAGACTGTGCCCGAAGCCAGTTCCTCATATGGATTTTGGTCAAAGGAAAGGCAGCCTTTCAGGTATGTTGCAGGACAAAGACCAGGAGTTCTCATCTAGAGCCTGTTTGCTAGCTCGAGTGAAGCTGGGGTACAGAGGAGGAAGGCAGAGAGTTTCCAGGGGAGAATCTGCTACTCGAGCCAACTCGGCCAGTGTTTTCAACCGTTGTTGGTCATGTCAGCCACCTGTAGACCATTTGAAGGTTCTCATCCAACTACTGATCAATATATACAATTGGTAGTTTTTACAACTCTGTTTATGATCTGGTTTGAAATGATCACAAGATGCAACATTAAGCTGAGCAGGCCAGGAGATTTCTTGCCAGGCAGCAGGGTAAAACTCACTGCAGGTGTGCAGGTGAGGTGAACGTAGCTTCCGGCTGAAGCCAAAGAAAGATGCGAGAACTTGCCACGGGGTGCTCTGAGGAGGCAGCAGCGCTGCCAGAGCGACCCCACTAGAGAAGGCTGGCCCACCCGCGGGGCACAGTGGGGCTCTGTGGGCAGTCTGGCACGTGGTTTTGCTTGTGGCTGTGACTTTCCTGGATAGTTTTGCTTTGATTTTTTCTCATTTCTTCAGTTCAACTCTTGCAGCTTCCTAACGTGACCTTGAGCAACAGAGAGCACGAGAGTTGTTTAGACACTGCCTCCTCAGCGCTCCCAGTCTGCCTGTGGGAATGGAACCTGTGCCAGGGAGGAATCTCCTCCCCACTGCATCCTCCTCAGAGCGCTGCAGGAGACTTCAGGGTTCCAGTCCTTTGGTGACCTCCTCCAGGCAGTGTAGCCTAGGCAGTCCTTCAGTGTGCAGTGCAAGCCAAGGAAAGGGCAGAGAGAAGGGTGCCTGCTGGGCCTCACTGGCAAGGGACTTACCGCAAAACTTATGTTTCAAAGTGGAACTCATTTGGCGGTCGCTGTAGTGCCTAATATGCACCTGCCTTGCAGTTTCTGAGGACCACTGATAAGGCTTAGGGAAGAGCTTGTCAGCTGTGTGTAGCAGATAAGAGAGGGAGTCAGAGCACCTCAACAGCCAAGGAGCTGTTCGCACTTGTGTGTCAGGGTTCCCCTTCAAGGCCATTTCAGGAGCTACAAGTCAGATGGTAGCTCAGTTTTCATTCTTTCATTCATTCCTCTGGAAATCTAAACATTTAAAATAAAAACTGAAATATTTGTTTATTGGATGATAAACTAATATATTAATGGACTTTAACAAGTTACCTTTGAAATCATTTTCAAATAGGAAACTTTCTCTAAAGATAAAAATGTATACATTGAGCCAGGGAGCTAGCTCAGCAGTCTAAGCGCCTATCTAGCAAGTGCAAGGACCTGGGCTCGATCTCCAGTACTGCGTGCTATACTGGCCCTGCCCCAGCCCACCAAGCGAGACACTAAACCCAGGCATGGTGGTGCACGTCTGTAATCCCAGCACCGAGGAGGCTGAAATAGGAGGTCACTACAAGTCTGAGCTGTGTAGCAAGACCCTGTACCAAATGCATAAATTAAAAAAAGGATACGTTAAAACAAAACTTACAAACCTCTGCATATTGATGATGCAAGGATTAAAAAAGGAAAATATTTTATATTTATTTAGACAGTTTAATCATTTTTAAAACCATTTCCCTTACATTGTCACGGAATTTATCTTAAACACATAAAAGAAAATTTTATCTTACGAATGCTTCATAACATTGTCTAAACGCGCTTCAAAGTTGCACTTTATAGCTTTTAATTTGAACTTGTCAATAGCTTCATGACTATTCTTTGGGGCAATAAGAATTTCTAGTTTGAAAAATATCCTGCAAGCATCAAGTATCTGCTAAGTTCAGAGCTGGTTCTGGTCACTGATTGCTCACAATAAGAATGGCATCTGGTAGTGACGAGGGACCGTGACAGTCCACGCCTGTGCTGGCGGTGGAGGTTGTCCACTGAGCCTGTGTGCAGGCACGCGCTGTGGCTGCAGGGGGAGGGTTTGTGCCTGCGTGAAGATAGAGGCTGGGATTTCAGTGTGACACACTGTGGCTCGCTGTAGCACACTCCCAACAAGCATGTGTAAGAGTCGAGCTTTCCCTGCCTTTACCATAAAGGAAGGCAAAGTGAAGGGCCACTGTTTGTGGCCTGGGATTCGGGACGTGGATCCTCTGGCTTGACTCTGCTCTCTGGCTTTCCAGAGCACGACTCCGTGGGTTCTTTGTGGCACCAGAGACGAATAATTACACGTTCTGGATCCAGGCAGATAGCCAGGCCACCTTACATTTCAGTCGTTCAGAGGATCCGAGCACCAAGGTATTTGCCTTCTTCGCCTTTTCTCTGTCTTTATCTTCGGTCTTGTGGCCTTGACTAAAGAAAGAGTCAAAACCAACGCTCTCATGTTCTAAAGCTCTCGTGCCCCTAAGTGGTCAGCGGCTTCCAATTTTGAAAAACATTTGGCTGGATTATAATGCTATATACTATTGCTTGAGCCCTTCGTTTAAACCAGGCATATTTTTTGTCTTCACTGTATCTTCCTGAATTATAATGTTTATCTCCATTTTTGCATGTGAGGAAATTGAGGCTTTGAAAGATTCTATGGCCAATCCAGGACCAGTTGGGTAAAAACGAGAGAGAGAGAGAGAGAGAGAGAGAGAGAGAGAGAGAGAGAGAGAGAGAGACAGACAGACAGACACGCACAGAAAGAGAGGCATAAAACATCAAGCTCAGATTTGTCTGACCCTACACTCTGGGCCTTTTTGACTGAATTTGGGCAGAGATGCAACTGCCTTATGCAGAAATCTCAGCATCAACTTTGAAGGCTGAGAAAAACTGCCTCTCACGGGCAGCCCAAATTCACTCGTGGCTTTGACAAAGAAGCGCAACATTTTAATAATATTCTTTGAAATTGATTTGCTGCTTGGTTAAAAGAACAGAATGGATTTTTATGGCGTGAAGTCGTTCTAGGTCTCTCAAGGGCTTAATGTTTCACAACACAGTGAATGTTAGGTTGCCTGTTCCTGTTGGAACTGTAGCCCATCTACTCTCATCTGAATATTGTTCATCTAAGACAGACAGACAGACAGACAGACAGACAGACAGACAGAGACAGAGCCACAGACAGCAAGAAAAAGAAGCATAAAAATCCTAAGGGCCAAAGTCACTGAGTTAAGTTGTCAGAAAAGACTGGTGGGAATGCTTCCATGTGAGTGGCTTCCTAATGCTTTCTATTTGAGGAAAAGATACCCATGCTTCATGACATTGATTTTGACATACTGCCTGGGCATAGGTGAAAGTGGCCTCCATTCGGGTTGGCACTGCTGCCTGGTTTGACTCCTGGGAGCAGAAAGGGACCGATGAAGGGACCTGGCAGCAGAAGAGCCCCAAGATGGAGCTGCTGGGTGGAGCCAGGTACTACCTGGAGGCAGAGCATCACGGGACAGCCCCCAGCAGCGGGATGAGAGTGGGGGTCCAGATCCACAACACCTGGCTGAGTCCCGATGTGGTCACCACTTACCTCCGAGAGAAGCACCAGATCAGCGTCAGAGCCCAGAGGCTTCCGGAAATACAGGTTAGCTTCCTCAAGTCCTTCAGGATTGAGCTCTAGAGAGAGGCAAAGGTGCTTCTCTGCTCATAGAGTGGCTACTTGTTGAGAGCCCGTGGATCTGCGCTGCAATTGTAACGCTGCTGACAAATATGTGGGACATCTCCTCACCTGGACTGTTACTGGGATTGCCTTACTCACTGACTTGGCTTTAGGAGTTTACATTACAGGTCAGTCTTTTAAAAACAAAAAACAAAAAACAAAAAACAACTTATTCTCTAGATTATAAAGCCCTGCAAACAGACAGACAGACAGACAGACAGACAGACAGACAGACAGACACACTAACTCATTTCCTGGTTTACTGACTCACTTCCTGGTTCCCTTTGTGCTGCTTTCTAACCTGTAATGAGTTTCCCATGCGCCCCCCGCTGTCTACTGTGCAGCTTTGTGGTACTTTCTGTTCACCTTTGCTGAGCAATCTGAATCAATACAAATGCTGTCTTCTAAAGCCGCCCATCTAACAGTCACCTGTATCCAAATAACCATGGAACAAAGTAGAAAATGCCAGGTGATTGATAGGTGAACAGCTACAGAGAGCTTGCGCCAGATAACACATCCTCCAGTGAGTTCATTGGTAGCTAAAGCCTGCGGTGACCAGGAGGCAAATGCTTCCTCAGCCACTGCCTCTGGGCCACACTGAGAGAAGGCATTGGCTGAGGAAGCATTTGCCAACTTTATGTCTCCTACTCTAAGAGGAAGGACACAGAAAAGAAGCGAGGCGATTTATTCCACAGTTTCATTAGGTGACAGCACTGTATTCTTTCTAGACAGCGAGGCATTTAGGAAGTTGAAATGCTGATAGCAGTGTTTCAGCAAGCCAGCAGGTCCACCTTGTGCTCCTCTCCTGACTCTGGGGGTTTGCAGTTTCCTGTCACTTGCTCCTGTCTCTCTTGACTTCATAGATGCTGAAGGTTCCAGGCAAAGGAGACTTTTTCCTTACTTGGGACAACGCCTCCAGCCAGCCCCTTCCTGCAAATGCCACGGCCCACCAGGTGGGATCCTGCTCCAGATAGGAAGGGTGGAGGTGGGTGGACTCGGGTGGTCTTCACATCAGTGATATGCATGTATGGTATATTTCCTTTTAAATAGATTCAAGCCACCATTGAAAAGTTGCTTGCAATAAAATGCAACCTGGAGCCGCTGTCAGTCAACATCCTGCTTCGACTTGGATTTGAGCAAGGTGCACTAGCTGTCTTTTCACATTCCGTAAAATAGTAGCAATCCTCAGTTCTCCTCTAAGGTGCTAGTGGAGTCAAATAAAAATGTGAAAATGGTTTTGGACCCTACGTGGCCAAGGCTGATGCTCCGTGCTCAGGAGGGAGGTGTCTGGCACAGCGACGGAGGAAGCCGGAAAGCACAGCCTGCTGTCCCACGTGGCCCGTGGGCATGAGCAGATGGTGGCAAAGAACAGCAGCTGTAACATCTTGTTTAACTCAAAATGCATCTCAAGGAATTATTACCCAAGAAAGTCCTACAATTTTTTTTTAAATATAAAAGTGTTTTTAAAACTATACCAAAGTAAACTAAATTCTGGTGGGCGCCATTGGGTCTTTTGCTTCTCCCTCAGTTGGTGTCTTGATTCGCAGGAAGATGTAGCAGCTATCTGGGGTTTGCGCTCAGACACGAGGTCTCTCGTAGCTCGAGCCTCCAAGCCAGGGATGCTGGCCCCTCAAGCCCGCCCCAGCTCTCCCGAGGCCGGAAGGGCCACGGTCGCCGCGCACACACGGCTACTCCCTACACACACATCGCAAGGCGGTTTCTCTGGCTTAACAGCCACATTTGTCTTCCTGTGTTGTCAAACTCCATCCAGGCCTAGAAGGCTCCAGCTCCGATGGGGACCTCACCAGGCGCACAGAGCCCTTCTGTGGCAGAGTCTGCCTCCGCCAGCCTCGACGCCTTGACCTACTCCGCACTGCTGCGCAGAAGGGCTACCGGCTGGAGCAGTACCCACACGTGAGTACAGTTCTCAGGCTGTCAGCCTGGTGTGTGGGAGGGGCGAGCGTCTCCGGGTTGGAGGCCAAAACCAGAAGCACAGTGCAGAAGGTGCTGTGGTTTGCCCGATGCCTTTTGGACTAGGCTCTAGGGCTTTAACCGCTGTTCCAGGCAGGAGCAGATACAGCTTGCCACCCTACAGAGTTGCTACCTGGCAGTGCCTTTGCGCTAGGCTTAATGATAAGCGCTGTGGAAATCTTTATGGGGTTGGCATTTTGTCTGATCTCTACATATCAGTACAGACTTAGCATTCTTGTACTGAATTCTGACACCCTCTGTACCCTCAATGACTCACATAAGTATACTCTGCCTTAGTTTATTCATGTGTAAAATGGGTAATTATTTGGTCAAGTTCTCAGGTATGTAATGAAGATTGAATATGCACATTTGGTGAAATGCTTCCCCAGGGCCAAGCCTCAGCAGAGCCTCGGTACTGTTTTATGGTTAATGTTATTGACGGATTGCAAGACCCATTTTCTTGAATATCCCTTATGCCTTAGTAGGCCCTTTTGCTGTAGTAGGTCTGCTGTCCTTCATAAGAGAGATGAAGCTCAGTTTTCTTTTGTGATTAGACAGCCTGGCGTGGTAGAGCTCATGGTAGTCATGTGGGGTCTTTTCCTGATTGAGTGGAAGTTGGGAATTAATTGTTCTGGTCTGGGGCCTCATCTGTCCTGAGCATCTTCTCTACTGCAGGGCTTCCCAAGGGGGTAGTGGCTTTGTCCTTGTAGGAGAAGGTTGGAAATACATGAAAATGTGCTGGGTTGTCAGAGCTGGGAAGCTGCCACTGGCATCTATGGGAGGAGGTGGAGGCCAGAGCTGCTGGTGAAGCGCCACAGCATGGGTGCAAGCCCCACAGCGCCTCACCCAGGTTCCACAGAGCCCACTGTGGGCATGTTGAATTCTCCTGCTCTACCGCCTTTCCTGCCAAATAACTGCATTTGAGTTTGGAGACAAGGATGCTGAAGTCCTTAAAGGAGGGCTCGAAGCATGTACGTGACTCGCTTGAGTCTGCACAGGTCGAGCAGAGATTTTCTATTTGAGAGACTCTAAGATCCTCGTAGTTAGGGATTGAAAACCTCTGCTGAACTAGTTTTTTTTCTTTTGCCATAGGAAAAGGATTTGTTATGATTTTTCCCCAGCTTTATTGAAGTAAGCAGTAGTTTGGTCTAAGTTATTTTTGTATGTAGCCAAACCGATGCGTTCTAGCAAGGGAGGCGCCGACTCTTTTGCCATGTGCAGCTAGGTCTAGAGATGTAAAGCCCTCGCTGCACGTTGCCTGAAAGGCTGCCTTGCTTGGTCTCTGCAGCTGTGCCTGGCATACAAAGGCCACAGGAATACGGTCCTGAGGGTGACTGTGTCTTTCGTTATCGGCTTTCAAAACATCACAAAGAACAGCACCTGTGACTGGAGCCTCCCGGGAGCCAGCCCCAAGAGGTAGCTCTTGCGCAGGGGGCAGGGTGGGGCGTCTGCCTGTGGGAGGAGGTGGGCCCGCTATCGTGTGGACGGTGTGCATCAGTTTTATGTTTGGGACTCAACCAATTGGGGTTTTGAGCTTATTCTACGTGACAACATATTTTGACTCAGTAACAGGTAGCTGGACTCTGACAGTTCTCATAGGCATAGAATCAGAGAATGTCATGTCTGGGAGAACTTAGGGAACATTCCTTGACACGTGAGGACAACTGGGGTCCAAGAAGTCACCTATATGCAGCTGGTGTCTGCCTCCCGGACTAAATGAAGGCACTGCAAACCCTTGATTTACGGTCCCTTGGTTCAGAGCACTTTCCACACATTTCTTATGTTTTGTGGAAGTGATTTTAACCTGAATGAGCCAGTGATGTCCAGGAGCATCGGTCTTCCCTGTGCTGAGAACCTAACACACATTCTACTCAAGAGGCACAATTAAACTCTAATTTTAAAACGTGGCTGGCACTGTTGTGAACGACTGACTGAGCGACTCACCAGTGTTACAGCCGAATCCGAGAGCATCTGGGCGGGATGTCCATGCCCGCGACACACGGGCTGTGTGGTCCCTGGCGCGCAGCCTCTCTCCTGCTGTACATCTTACCGGAGGCTCCTTCCACCCTGTGCTCTTTGCAGTTGGCAGTTCGCTTGCACCGACCTTCGGAACATGTGTGCACATGGCTCCAGGGACCTCCAGCTGCCTCTGGCCGACACCCCCGTGCTGGTTCAGCAGGTCGCCCTCCTCTCACTGGCCCAGGAGACGGGCCTGCTTTACTTGGATGAAATTATTATCTCAGACACAAACCTAACAGGTGATCAATGCACCTTCTGTCTTCTATGGGCTCATCTCCAAATTCCTGTCTCAGTTTCCTAGTCAAGTTTGCTGCTCTTCAAATGAAGAGAGGATGGGTGATTTTCCATCTTGCCCGACTCTGTTTGCAAGCAGATGGGGTTAAAATTCCTGCCTTTGCTTCTTCATCTCTAGCTAGTCCCTCGTTTGCACCTGTCTGCTCCAGTGTTTTCTGTTTCTGCTTGTGCTTCTTATCCCGACTTTTCCACCTTCTGGTAGGGAGACTTTGCTTTCTTCACCTGTAAAGTGGGTATAATATAGGTTCTGCCTCCTTAAATTACTATGAAGATTAACCAAAGTGTAATAGAAAGCAGTCATTATAGGTCTTGGCCATAGTGAATGCTCACTAAAAGGAAGAAATCCCTGGTGGCGTTGTCAGGCCAGCAGGATTTCTCCCTCTTTTCTTAAGTTAATGTGGTCATGCCATGCACCAGAGAGAGCACAGCAATTTGTAGTCTTGTGTCTGATTTACAGCCTTCAAGACAGAACACCACAGGGGTGGGCACACAGCTTTCTGAGCGAACATCTTCATCTTTCTTTCTGTCCATCTGGACTCTTCCCAATCACTGACCAGAGGTCAGCCCTGGCCCTCCTTCCCACATAGTTCCCTTCACCTGCACCTGGGCGCAGATCTCTCACCTAGCTCTGCCTGTCCACTGCCCAGTACAAAGTGCACACCAGGGTCCTCCTGGGGTTGCACACGTATGCATGTGCTGTGCACCAGGTGCTAAGGAAGAGCAGCTGGATTTCAGGGCCTCCCAGTGCATGCTTCTTACCTTTTAAGTCAAGCCCTTATGACTTCAAGACTCAGCTTTCCTATACTTCATAGCCTCCCTCCAAGAAGAAGAAGATAAACTCACTTGCATTTTGATTTTAAAAAGTATGCAACTTTTGAGTCTTGCATAGAAATATCAGGTGTGAGGACAAGGGAGCTTGGCGTGAGTGGCATCAAGATTCTGTCAGCCCAGGGATTGCGACAGAATCTTGATGCTCATTAAAATTCTGCTTTTTGTTTCAGTGTTTTGGGGCATCTGGGATTGCTTATTGTCCAAGGTGTTTTTTGGCACATTGAGGAAACAGAGCCACTTACATGGCACTAATGGCATGCTGGGATACACTCCAATGGCATGCTGGGATACACTCCAATGGCATGTTGGGATGCACTCCAATGGCATGTTGGGATGCACTCCTGCATTTGTTGGCTCTAAGATAATTGGGACAGGGGCCTTAGGTGATCCTACATGCTACCCGGATTTTTAGAAGGCAGAGGGGTCAGTAATCAATATTTCATGTACTTGAACCCACTGCTTGGAAAACTTTAACTGGATAACAGACACGCTTGCACTGTTTCATCTGTCTTCCTTAACTGCCATCCTGTCTGTCTAAACCTTTAAAGCGAAGAGTCCAGAGCACTTTCCTTGCCCTGACTTCTTTGCCCCCAGATGTTCTGTGGATCTGGAACCATCCATTGAGGAGGGAAGCTGGGGTGATAGGTTGGGCTCAGAAGTACTGTGGGGTTGGCCTGGCTGAGACAGTGGCCTGGCTGAGATGGTGTTCTTACCACTTTGTCAAGTTCCTCTACTGGGAATAGCTCTATGCACGTGTGTGTGTGTGTGTGTGTGTGTGTGTGTGTGTGTATGTGTATACATAAAAACATACACACACGCACACACACACAAAGACAGTGCTGGGGTCAAAGCCAGGGCCTCGAACTTGCCAGGTAAGTGCTCTCTACCAGTGGCCTACAACTTTGTTCTGAGGATTAGCTACTGGAAGCATAAACTCTGTACAGTTAGGCCCAATATTCCTGGTTAATTGTGTGTCATTTATCTGACCAATCTAATGTTCAGTTATATTCTCTTACCTAATGTCCTCTATGAAAGTTCTTCTTAGTCCTTTATCTAGTGACAGCTCTGATACATAGTTCTGTTTAGTTTGCAGAAGCCATAAGGTAGTCTGTGTCCTACCAACTCCACTCTGTGTATGAGGAAGCCAAAGTGTTTCTTTCATCCCTTGCTTTTTCCTTTCTTCCTCCGGTGCACAAAGCTAGGATATAGCATCGCTGGCCCTCTGGCAGGGCCTTCGGGGACTCCCTGGCCAGCTGAGCAAGTCATCACTCACTAAGCACCTACTCTGTGCTCAGTGTTGCGTTAAGCATTGGGCATGCAAAGATGAGTGAGACTGAGATGGCCTTGAACTCTTTATAGTCTGAGCTACAGTAAGTCTTGGGAAAGAAGCTGTCTTCTTGCCCAGTGCCTAATCCCTTAAGAGGGTAAAGGATATTAAAATATATTTCACTAATCTGTTTAGTCTCGGACTCATTCAACTCCCCGCCAGGGAGATTGCTGTTGATCGTGCACGTCATGATCTACAACTTACTAATGAGAGCCAAAGTTCTGGGGCTTACGTTGAGTACTGAGTGGGTATCGGCAAAAGTGGGGAATCTGGCATTGAGCAGCGGCATCTCTGAAAGCTCGGCCTTGTGTTCTGTGCACTGAACGAGCACTTGTGTAAGCATGTGAGTACCCCTGGTATGTGCCTGTGTATTGCATGCTCCCGAGAAGTGACCAGACATCCCTAGGGTTCCCAGGGGTTATGGGAAGGAAAATAGGAACCAGGGCCATTTGCACTGCGACAGCGTATCTGCACAGGGACACCTCCCAGGGCACAGCTGGGGGCATTTGGCTTATTGAACTTTCCTGTAGAAAGTGGTCTCCAGCTCCTTAAAGTACGACCTTGTATTGTCTTCGTGGTGCGAAGTCTGGCGGGGCTTCTCCTCCCTCCTGCCCTTGGCTTTGTGTATCAGCAGGGGGTAGGGTCCACCCTAGGGCGCACGGCTTCCTGCTTGAGTCAGTGGATCCTAACTCATCGTCCTTCTCTAGTTTCCCAAGATGACTCTGCGACCACTCGCCCGGGAGGCAATCTGGTGGAGTCCGTCTCCGTACTGGGGTCCCATCCCGTCTACAACGTTACCTCCTGGACGGCCGGATGTGGCGCGGAGCTCCCGCTCATCGCGGCGCGGTAGGCAGTGGTGGTGCACGCTGCGTTGCTCCTGCCCACGACTTCTGCTCGGCTGTGGGGGACGCCCAGGTGGGGCTGGGACAGTAGAGCCACCTGGCTGACCACTTAAAGCTGCGCTCTTCCCTTGAGAATACGGCCCTGGCCTCTTCTGGAGTCCTGTTTGAACTCTGAGCCCACTCAGGTCCCCTAATGCAGGCGTGTTGGGGCAGGGTCTGAGAATTCGGAATTTCACGGATTTCCCTGGTGATGCTAATCCGGCTAGAGTGGGGGCTACATTTGAGAGCTACCGTCTGTTGGATTTGTTCGCTCATGCTGACTTTTATGCTGTCGAGGGCTTCACAGTAACGCTGTTTTCTGTTTATTCCTCTCATTCCATTTTCCACACACTGATTTTGTTGAAATTCTTTCAAAAGAAATGATGCTATAAACTAAGAAACGAAACTAAGCATTTTGAGAACTCACCGCCAGATGGCACTAGCGCCCCGTAAACCCGGCTTCTGGCACCTTTCTAGCCTTGGCTTGCAAAGCAGTGACTAAGGGTCGAGTCCTTGGAACCCAGCCGTGTTTTGATTCCTTCCGTTAACTTTTCACTTAAACCCAAGTAGGGCGGGAAGCACTGAGATGCTCTGCTTTTCACGTACGTACTGTGTGTGTGTGCGTGTGTGCACGCGGGCTCCCCCACCCCCACTTCCTGTATTTCAGAACGAGTCCTCATAACCGCAGCGTCCTGGACAGTGTGTCAGGGCGTGCGAGGGAGCTGGAATCTGTGTTCATTGGTTCGTGCTTGTTCTGTGGCCCAGAGAGATGCAAAGACCCTCGCATGCGGAAGCAAGGAAGCTGCCCTGGCGGCAGGCTCTGCGTGCCGGAGTCATGACCTCCGAAACGACAGCGCTTAATTTCGCTTCCTGCGAACAGGCTGACGCTTGCAGGGCTCCTACCAACCTTCCCTTCGAGCTTTCTCCGAGTTCCTCGGCTTCTCTGCGAGCCTCAGGCGGCTCCTCTGCGAGCTTCAGGCCTCGGCCGACAGCAGTCTCCAAGTGTGCTTTCCCGGGAATGCAGCCACCAGGAGGGTCACTCTCTGCTGGTCCTCTGCGTGTTTAGGTTGCGCATCGATATGCCGGGCTTAAACGATACTCTCAAAAGAAACAGTACAGATCCATTGTTGACAATTTGGAAAACACAAACAGATAGAGATAAAAATCATAGTCCTCAATGCAGAGAAATAACGTCTGTTAACATATTTGGTCTATATACTGCCTTTTTTCTGATATATTTTTATGTATATACATTTATATACAACACATATATATGCATATATAATAACATATATCCATGGATATGTATATGTATAAACATATGTGTGAATATATGATAGTTTTTTAAACCTTGGATTGCAATTATATACTGCATATTATATGTGTAGCATATTCTTTTCATCTAATGTCATAGATTGTGTATTTCCCAAATTCACCAAGTAGCCTGGTGAGACTGATTCCTAGTGGCTTTCCTAGTCTATTTTGGCATCTAGAGCAAAACAGCGTAGACAGGCTGTCCCGTCCACAGCAGGAGGCATTTCTCTCAGCTCTGGAGGCTGGAATGCCCAGTGTCCCGCCCTGGCAGATCTGTCTCCCTGCACATAGACAACACCTTCTAAGAGGAGAGCTGTCTCCTGAAGCCCATTTTATGAAGACACAGTTCCTCTTGAGGCCCTCTCCCCACAGCCCAAGTGACCCCGTAGGGCCCACCTCCTAGGGCACCACCTTGGGGATGGAGAATTCAGCTCCAGCGCTCAGACCTCCGCAGTGTCCCCTGGTATTCCATCTCACTGTCTTTCAATGTAGTGGCCACCCTGGTGTGGACATCAGGCTCCTGCAGGTGGTGCCTTTGCGCAGGGGGAGTCCGTAAGCATGCAGTTGGCTGGAGGGGCCGTGCCCAGCGGGGGGCTGGGCGGGGCAGCAGCTGTGCACCGGAAGCAGCGAGTGTTTGTCTGAATAGGTAAATGGGACTCTAGAAAACCAAGTTCTCTTTCAACTCAGTAGAAGCCGCGTTGTGGTGGCCGAGGCCCTTTCTTGTTCTGGATCTTTGCACCCTCAGAATCAAAGATCTTGAGGGGAAGATGCTCTTGAAGAACGCCCAGATTTCTGCTGTGACAGGAGAGGCACACCCAACATTTCTAAACTGGGGCTCACAGCTGGAAGCCGGGGGTTGAGCTGGCCCTTGCAGTGGAGCTGTGATACATTTGGGTTGTCTTGAGGGCCGCTGCACTTACTCTTTCTTTTTGCCGTGCTGCAGCTCCGTGCCCACTGAAGGAGCAGAAGCCTCTGGGCTGGTCCAGGGGACAGCGCAGAGGCTGCAGAAGACAAGCCCACCATTGGGAGGACGCTTCCGCATTCACCTTCCTAACACAGTGATTCCTGGTAAAGACACCTTCGGGGCACGCAGCCCCTCTTGTTTGCATTTGTCAGGGCATTCCCAGGCAAACGACCTCCTACCAAGTGGGCAGATAGGGTGGCAGTTTTAAATTTATTTTAATTTCCAGTATGTGAAAATGGTCTTCTTAAAACTAAAGACAAATTATGACAAAATCAGAGACATAAATGGCAGAAATGTATATGATTAATTTGTGGCCGATCTAGGGAACACAGGATAGACTCCTCCCAAGCTCCTTAACTACATATTTTGCCACATAAGGAAGTGTTCATTCTTTTGCCTTGACATAGGTTCTGAGGATTAGGACACAGGCATATCTCCTGGGACCACCGTTTAAGCAGTCTTACTAGGACTGGACCAAGGCTACATAGTTGACAACAGGGGTGTGAATCTGTGTGTGTGCTGTGTAGGCATATAACTCTCCTGTCTGCCCTCTTCTCTCTAAAGTTTTCTAGACTAAGATCAAGGTCTCAGTGTCCTCAGAGTTAAACTCAATGGTGACACCATACGTGCTGATTTCAGTCGTTTCCACGAATGTAGAGATTGCAAATTGGAATTGTCGTGTTGTTTTTAAATTGTCAAGAGTACATATTTTTCATGAAGGGCTGTTTGAGTGTTAGAAGTGGAGCATTACTTATTGGACAGAGGGACCGGTGAATCAGAGAGGGCCCAGGGGAGCTCAAGGGGGCCGTGCGGTGGTTGGTGCAATCCAAGCCTGCCCTCCCTAGCTCACGGACTGGGTTTTCGAAGATCTGTTTGGGCGGGAGAGACAGAGGGGTGTTTTTATGATACCAGGGAAACTGAGGAGAAGTTGAAGGCCTGCAGCTTTTGGAATCTGCTCAGCAAACAGTCTCAGTGCCCCTGACTGTCAAAGCCCGTCCCTGGGCTGCGCCGCGTGTCTTCTCACAAAAAGGACAGAGAAGTCATAGACTTCTTGTACCAACTTCTATTGCTGAAGTTTCCTGGCATCAATGTGCACAAAACAACTGCAGGAAAGTCATCTTTACCTGGCGTTTTGGAAGGGCGATGACCCAACTTATGTATAACAATGGAAAAGTGTCTTTTAAATGATGAGACGTCTCTTTGCATTGCTGAGATGTAGCGGTAGTTTATTTTTTATTTATTTATTATTTTTTTTTAGCGGTAGTTTATTAACCTTTCAGGGCAGTGTGAAATTCCAGAAGGCAGCTCTGGAGTGGGTAGAAAGCAACTTGGGTTTTAATGGAAACCTGTTGCACTGGCTTTGCCAGCTTTTGAATATTACTATGTTTCATTTTCTTCTTCTTTAGAGTAGGCAGTAGGGTCCCCAGAGGACACACCTCACAGGGCTGTTGCCAGTAGCTAATGAAATGGAAACTTTGGGTAAAGCATGAAGCAGGGTTCAAACACAGAGCTTTGTTTTTGCTCTGTGGGCATGTGGAATGGGGAAGCAGGTGGCTGGGCTTAAAAGAAATTCTAATAGAGAAGCCAGAGTTAGATGCCAACATTCCTCAGCTGGGTTGCTTAAGTTTTATGGGTGTCAGCTGCCGTATGCCTCTGTGCTCCATGTGAGAAGCAGCCAACTTTTGCTGTTCACAGGGCTGGCTAAATTTTTCCAGGGAAAAGCCAGATTTAATTGGGCTTTCACATTTCAAGTTGACAGTTGAGATAGTTTTGTCCGGCATCCTGCTTTCTCTGCTTGTGCTGCGGTATGATGCTGAGGACAGGGTATTACGGTGAAAAAAATCATGGGCATCTGCTGGTATTTGCCTTGGGGGAGAGTGGAAGTAGGGCTGAAGGTTCTCTTGAAGTTCTGTCTTGACCTTGACAGTCTCCTTCATGCAGACAACCTGGTTTTTATTCTGTTATCCCTGATGAGACTCTGCAAGATGGATTAATTAGTGCTCTGCATTTTCTGTAATAAAATTTCCCCTCACAGATGTCCCTGTGCATGTGTCGGCTGGTCACCTTCACAAGCTCTTACAGGACAGTGCCGATGGCTTCACATCCAGGTACCTTGGTGTCAGTGACTTCGTCGTGGAGGAGGACCGGAGCTCCTGCTATGAACATGTGTGGACCCTTGCCTGGTCCACCCAAGTTGGGGACCTGCCCAATTTGATTGAGGTATGTATGTTGTCCCTTGAGGGCACCACATGGATTTGGTACCCTAGAGAAATTTTGTATAAAAGAAAGAGTAAAGGAAATCTAGGATCTTTCTTTCAGGAAGTTTTCAACACTGATTTTGCATCTCCCTGATAAAGCAGCCTAATCTGGTGTCTCCTTTCTTAACTGTGAGGATAGAGAAGTCATTGGTCAGTGTCCACCACACCATAATTCCACATCTGTTATCGGGTAATTTAAGCAGATGTGATTGACTTAGCTATCGTGGAGGCAGATGGAATACCAGAAGGAAGTTTAGGAAAGGATTTGCTGTCTTTGGATAATGACAAAACCAGATGCTCCTGCATATTTAGGGCCTTTAAAAAGAATCTAATGATCATCTAGCATTGGATTATTATAAAATGAGGCCCAGAATGAAATCTTACTCCATTTATATGACATTATGGGTCATCCAGTTTTCATTCAAAATCCCAGCATGGAGACGGAGAAGGCACGGGAGGCTTTGCTGTTGTCCCAGAGCAATGGTTTCTCATATTTTATTGTAAAATGTTTGATTGAAGATAGATAAAGCAGAGAAGTATATGAAGCAAAAGAGACTTAGAAGATCAGTATGCAGTGTCTCTTCTGGCCTTTCCACTTGCAAATAAGTACGCTGCTAATTCCCGGGTGCTTCCACTAGCTCTCACTGGCAGTTCACCAGGTTTCAATCTTTGTCACGTTGGGTTTTACTTTCTAGCTCTGATTTATTTCAAGCGCAGTGTGTGAAAACCCTGATCACTTGTTTTAACCAAGAGTAGATTGCTGGCTCATGACAGTTTGCCACACATGTACCCATCCTAGGTCTCTGATCAGAATCTTACCGGGGTGAATCCAGTGGTAGCTCTTCGTGTGGTGTATGATGGTGGAGTTTTCCTTGGACCCATATTCGGGGACATGTTGGCCACTGCTCACCAGCATGCTCAGGTGAGTGGGCAAGCCATCAGAAGAGCCTCCAGTCTCACTCACTGATTTGTAATGTGGGTGATGACTTAGCTCCCCAGGGTCACTTTTCTACCAGGTTGAATGGGGGCAGTTATGGCTGTCCTCCTCCTAACTTTCACAGGGTATGCAAAACATGATGAAAAAATATACATGCCTCATCACAAGAATACTCTATTGTAATTATTATTATTATTATTATTTTTTTTTAATGGTACCAGGGGTTGAACTCTGGACCTTGCACTTGCCAGGCAAGTGCTTATTCTACTGAGCTATCTGCCCAGCCCCCTCTATTGTAATTATTAATGCTATTATCATGATGAAACAAAAAACAGAGAACATCTCTAGCTAAATATGATTTGTGCTCTTTTTGTCTTTAAAAGGTCTTTCCCATCTGCTCATATTTGTATTGTGAGTTACCCGATTTTAATTTAAGAAAAATTTATTTATTTATTTATTTATTTATGTATTTAGGACAAGGACTACAGGGTCTACAGGGTCTCACTACACAGATCAGACTTATAGTGATCCTCCTGTTTTCAGCCTCCCAAGCCCTGAAATTACAGGTGTGTGTCACCACACCCCGTCTCAGTCGCCGTCTTAGCGCACCTCGGGGGCAGGGCTGGCACGGCACACCAGGGATCGAACTCCAGCCGCTGCGCTCTGCCTAAGCAGGCACTTTAGTCTGCTGAGCTATCTGGCCAGCCCTAATATGAGAAAAATTTAAAATGTAAGAAGTGTAAGGAATACTAATTTTTAGTCAATGACTGACACACAGGTGCTCAAACTGAGAATTACTAATTTTCAGTGTTCTGATCTATTTGTACTTTTATTGTTTATTAAAAAAGTGAAACTATGGATAAATTAAGAGGTTATTTTCTAAGCTATTCAGCTATCTCTTTTGTAAAGAAATGCCATCATAATTACCATGTATGCTTTTAATCCATTTTTATATGTAGAGAACCAATTGAGTTTTCCATCTTTTATGTTGTCATTTCTGAGTATTGTTTGAGATAATATTAGTTCTAGTAAAAGGGAAACACACACCGTATTTTGTCATTTTAAAACTAGAAGGTTCCAAATCATATGTCCGGATTCACTTCGGTCTTTAGCTGTGTGTTCAAGTAGTGAAGGTGGAGGAAGGGCCCCCTTTATGGTCCTTCCTAGCAAAGAAAGGGCATTGCGTAGAGATGAAGAAAATGCAGCTGAAGCACCTTAGTTGAAAATGGAGAAATAAATAGACTCTGTACAGTTTAAGTTTATAGAATTTACTTCTGGATGATAGAGAAAAGATTCACCAAGCTTCAGCATCCTTGCCCCATGTGGCAGCACACGCCTGTCGTCCAGCTACTTGCTGCAGAAGGATCACTCGGGTTCAAGTGTTTAACACCAGTTTGGGCAACATAGTGAGCTGTCAGGACACACTGAATAACAAAAGGCAGGTTTAATTAATTGCATCGATGGCTTTCAGCATTTCTACTGCCGCTTTAAGAAAGTCTAACGTGTTGAGTCATCCATTACAGTTTAATGTTATGATTGGGAGCAATGGAACCTATAAGTGACACTAAGTGGGTTCAGGTCCCAGCTTAGCTGGGGCAATCTCTTGCAGCAGTTTCTGGCTATCCCTGTACCTGTGAAGCCTGAGCACTTGCTTTCACTGCCTTTGCTTTGTTGTAGGTGGTCGTGCGAGTGAATGACATACCGGCTCTGTGTCTGGGTTCCTGTTCTTTCCAGTACCTCCCAGGGCTGACTCCCAGGGTTCATTCTGTGTGGTGTTCCCTTGGTATGGTTTGTACATGGCTCTGAGCATCAATTTTAGATCGGTGGTTTGCTAGAGATCAGGTGGGTGGTGATGGGTGAGTTGAAGATGTGATCGTTCTTGAAGGGGAGCGTGAATGACATAGTGCACTGTTTGGTTCACCTAAGAGACATACTTATTCTTTGAAATGGGGGCCAGTAGGTTTTTGATGACCTCGTGTGTTTTATTTTCTTTGTCCTTTATATTGAAGAAGTCTTGGCTTCAATTCTCTCTCTCTTTCCCAATGACCTCTCATTAGTAGTTTGAGAAAATTTAAAATGGAGTTTATGGACTGCAATAGTAGATGTAGTTGTCCAATATTTGTGTCAGCACTCAACTACCTGAATTTTGGGAAAAAAAGGTGACAGAGATCAAATGCTTGGTGCTAGCGTAGGATCTCTTAAATGGCATTATGTCACTGAGAGATGATTTTGTTTTTGCATTTCTTTCTCCTGTTTAGATGGTGACACCAACCTACTGGTTTATATCACTGGAACTGGTTTATCTGGTGATTCCAAGTCTTTACAAGTTATGGTGAACCAAACAAGTTGCAAAGTTATTTTCTCAAACCAAACACTTGTGGTGTGTCAGACAGACCTGCTCCCCGTGGGAGTGCATCAGGTCTCGGTGCTGGTGAGACCCTCTGGGCTAGCTGTCAATGCCAGTGGAGAAGGCCTCTTCCTGCATGTGGAGCCTAGACTGGATGTCGTGGAACCTTCCAGAGCTGCAGAGATTGGTAATCTGGGAGAGGGTTGCACAAGACATCTGACCCTCTGAATCCAGGGTTCTTGCCTGTATGCAAGACTCCAGAGTCCTTTGTTCCTTAACTATGTCTTCTAATAGCAACTGTCATTTGAGTCCTGAAGTGAGTATCTTTGTCAAGCAAAAGGCTGTAGTTTGGCTGGTGGTGTCAGGCTCAGTGGGTTAGGGTGTCAAGCGGTGTTTGTTGGCCTAGTGGAAGTGATACTAGCCTGGGAGGTAGGACATGTCCCTGGTCTTTGGTCATACTGTAGGTCATGCATGTGAACTCAGCTGTTTCAGTTACTTCTCTGGGGCTTAATTTCTTAAAAATAATAATGATAAAAGAGTATCTCTTTTAAGTTGCCCTACATCCTGAATACTTATGACTGCCTGAAAGATGGAGAATGAGTCTGCAAATGGGCAAGATCCTTAACCAGGGAAAGCATCTGGTGAGCGTGAAGGTCCAGCCTTTCCTGCTTACTAGGAGCGTTGTACCCAGCTGGTCCTTCAGACATGCACTAACAGTGTGCCGGTCTGTGTTGCATAGTGGTGCTGTACATTACTCAGGTGCACGGGCTCGTGCTATTGTGCAGCCGACTACTGTCTGAGTGTGGAGAATCCAGGGCAGCAAATCTCACCCACACCACCGCCATTCATTGTGTCTTACTTGCATGGAAAACTTGAGACTTCTGCACGACTTTCTGCTCTGCAAGGGGCACATCCAGCTTACAGTAGCCCAGCTGGGTTTTAAGACTTTCAGGAATACAGGACTCAAGCTTATGTTTGCTGGTGGATCGATTTTGCAGCATAAATTCACTTCTTTTAGTGCTTTAGATTTTTGTAACTGTTCTGGTGGCCAAAGTCGAGGGCTCAGAATCTAAATAAATCAGCGCACTCTACTCACAAATGTATTGCTCCAAGGAACGCTTTGCTTCTGACGGCAGAGTAAGCGTGGATCACTTAAAAGAAGGAGTCGTGCAGCCCACCCCACCTCATCTGCTCAGGGAACAGAAGGAGCTCTTATTTCTCAGAGGTCTAAGGAAGGAACCCATAGGTGGTACTCAGAGTAAAAGATCAGACCCTATATTAACCCAATAATAATTGGTTTGAGTTTAGAGCACTTGATATTTAATATTCTTCTTATGCAATTTATAGGTGGGTTAGTCTTCCTACAGTATTACTGTCTCAGTTCGGGCCACACTGATCTTCTTTGGGTCCTGCCACAGGACTGCCACTGCCGCCACCTGTTTCCCCTACACAGAACGCCTGTGAAGGCAGGGGCATATCGGCCCTATCTTGTCTTGGACGGAGGAGTCCCCAGGACGCAGAACCTTAGTGCTGAGACTCTGTTCCAGGATAGTCAGGCCAAACAGGTCGTTTTCAGGATGTGCTGCGCCCGTGATGCCCAGCGGCAGGGTGTGCGGTCCTGGGAGGAGCTCAGTCTTACATTTTAGCCAGAGAGGCAAAACTCTGAGAAGGCCTCATGCTGGGTGGGTCCACACTAACTTCAGATTCAGGAGAAGGGAGGGAGGGACAGGCTGCAGCTGCTTTTTTCCTTGTAACCACACTTAAATTTTCCTGTTAGCTCTGCCACCTACATAGACTCAGCAGACTTTCCCCTGTCACTCTAGACTCCCTGTATTGCCCGTGTAGAGCCCTGTTCTGGGCACTGAAGCCCCCCGTACGTACAGTGCGGTCCAGGGCCAGTGGTGGCTGTGTTAGGAGTAGCTTCAGGCCCCACCCCAGACCCCAAATCAATCAGCAATTTACGAGGATCCTCACACAGTGTCTATGAGTTGCATAGTTTCTTGACATCACTGCTGTGGGTGATTGAAAGAGAGCCAGGCTGAGGCCCATCAGTAGAGACCGTATAGATCCGAATGCATAGTGAATGTGGAGATTGGAGCCACCGCTTGCCGGAGGCTGAGTCGCCCCCTAAGGGCTTGTGAGAGCAACTGCGGCTTTACCCTAGCCACCCCCTTGGTCACTGTCATGCTTCACGAAGAGTTGCCTTCTCCTAGGCTGGGCCCCCACAAGGCACCTCAGGAAGGGAAGGGGCTACAGGGTGATGGAGGGCTGTCGGTGACAGGGTGACCACTGGCACTGGAGGAAGGACAGAATGACCTTGGAAAGTGGCGATGCAGACACAGTGGAGGTGTGAGCCCTGAGGGCATCGCGGGGAAGGGAGTGGAAGGCTGCAGAAGGGTCAGTGATGTCCTGAGTCAGAGCGAGTTTAGCCTGTTCCAAGAACAATAAGGAGGTCACGGAGGCGGGAGGAGATAGAAGAAGGGGAGGAGGGGGGCGATGACAGGAGCAGGCCATATGGCCGCAGGGGCTGAGGACAACATTTGCTTCCACTCTGCGTGAGATATGGGGCAGCAGGAAACTTCAAGTGATCTCACAGTTCAGCGGGCGTGCACCTCGCTGCTGTCAGACTCACGGACACTTTCATCATCCCACAGAGAACCTGTGCTCCTTAGCAGCCTTCGCAATTCCTTCGTCCTTTCAGTCTCTCACAGCCACTGAAAGATTTTGTTTCAATGAAGTTTCCTTTTTTAGATATTTGATATAAATACTATCACATAATATGTGCTTTTTGTTGCAGGCCCTTCAGTCTCTGTCTCTGTCTCTCTCTGTCTCTGTCTCTCTCTCTGTCTCTCTCTGTCTCTCTCTGTCTCTCTCTCTCTGTCTCTCTCTCTCTGTCTCTCTCTCTCTCTCTCTCTCTCTCTCTCCCCTTGATCTTGCTGTGCTGTCCAGATCAGGCTAGAACTCTTGGTCTCAGTTGATTCTCCTGCCTCAGCTTCCCAAGTGCTGGGACCACAAGCTCATGTCACCACAATTGGCTGTTATCTTTATTTTTTCAAAAAATTAATAATCATTTGAATAGTTGTGAAGTGATGCTCACTGTTGGTGATTTGCACTTTGGTGTGTGTGCGGGGTCTCCCTCCGCAGCTCGGGCTCGTAGTGACCCTCCTGTTTTTTGCCTCCCTAGTGCTGGGATTACAGGCCTGCACCACCACGCCCGGACTCCATCGCTGGCTCAGCGTGCCCTGCGGTGGGGTCCACATGGCATGCAGTATCAGGGATCGAACCCTGGCCCCTGCGTTTACCTATCTTGTGCTTTCTACCACCATGCCTGGTTTTGGTGGCCAGCATGGCGTGCCTGGGGTTCCGGGGCAGCATGGCGTGATGTGCCAGGGATGGAACGTGCGTTCTTGTGCTTGCCAGGCAGGCCCTGAGACTGCTGAACTATCTCCCCAAATTGGCACGAGTGTTGTTAATTTTGGTGAAGTCCAGGCATCTTTGGTGGTGGTGTTACTTGTGTTTTCGGTTTCATACTTAAGAACAGTTGCCTAATGGTGTTACAAAGACCCATGCCTACGTCTTCTCTAAGATTTTTGTTGTTTTTTCTCTTACACTCAAGTTTTTAATTACTTTTGAGTTAATTTTTATGCATCATTTGAGACTGTGGTCTGTATTAGCTTGCTAGGGAAACTATAATCGGTTACCATAAACTGTATACCTCAAACAACAAAATTTTATTTTCTCATAGTTTTGGAAAGTTGGGATCAAAATCTCTCCAGGGTTGGTTCCTTGGGAATCAGCCTTTGAGAAAGAATCTGCTCTGTGCCCCTCCCAAGCGGCTGGTAATTTATTGGCAACCTTTGGTGTTCCATGGCTTGTAGAACGTTCTCTTGACCTCTGCCTTCATCTTTGTGTGATGTTGCTCTCTGACTCTTCCTTGTCCAAATTTTCCCTTTTTATAAGGTCGTCCACGCCCTTCCAAGACATGCACTTTACATTAAGTAAGCAAATCCACAAACATCATTTTCCCAAATAAGGCTGAATCTTGAATACTAGGGAGTGGGAAATCAATGTATGAATTTTTGGGGGTAAGTTGAAATTCAACCTCACACAGGATCCAACTTTATTCTTTTGTATATAAATATACTGTAATATCATTTTGAACATATGTAAAAATATTAGCAGTATAACTTATTAGAAATGGAATTGCTACATCAGGAATTTATATTTTAAAAATTTTGATGGGTATACAATTTTTTTTAGAGGTTGTACAATTTATTCTCTATGTGTATATGAGTACCTATTGACCACATTGTTCTAACTGTGCTTTTGAACTTTTTCTCATTTACCAATCTCATAGGAGAGAAGCAACATTTCCAAGTAGTTTTAATTTACATTCCTTAAGAGAGAAATGGAATATCTTTTCAAGTGATTAAGAGGTATTATATTTTCTTTTCAGTGAACTATTCATCTTAGTTCTTTTTTTCTAATTGGATTATATGCTTTCTCCCTAAGTTTAAGGAATGGTTGATATGTTGAGGATAGGATCTCAGTATATTTTTATTATTTGTCCCTTTTTTGCTTTTGCAATTCATAAATAATTTTAATTTTAATAAAGTTTATCTTATTATGTATAACTTCAGGGTTTGTAAAATACTTAGCATAAATTTTTCTGCCTATGAAATTATATAAAAATTAAAATTCTGTCCTGTTTTCTTTTAGTTTTTTTGTGCTTTCCTTTAAAATATTTAATCAGTTTGGAATTTATTTTTGATGAAGGACATGAGGTAAAAATTCAGATTTAGTTTCTTGTTCTTTGCTTATTTTATGACTGAATAAATAATCTGTGGTGTTCTCACGTAGAACAGCGTGCTTACCGCGTCCCTCGGCTCCATACTCGTGTGGCCTTCCTTCTGGAAACAGTTCCTTTGCTTCCCTGGCTCAGTGAGCTCTGTTATTACAGTCTAACTCTGGTTTTAAAACAGGTAGTTTGGTACCTGGAAGAAGATATTTTTACTTTCATTTTTGAAATTTTGCTTTGTGGCTTTTCTTTCTTTCTCTCCCTCTTTCTCTCTGTCTTTCTCTCTCTGCAGTACCAGGGACCGAACTCAGGCCCTTGTGCTTGCCAGGCCGGCACTTATGCTGCTGAGCTATCTCCCCAGCCCACTTATTTAACTTTCAAACTATCTGGTCTAATTTAAATAAAGAGTCTATTCATATTTTTATTGGAATTGCACTGAAGCTCCTGTTTAACTTAGAGAGAGTATGATGATCATTCCTTCTATTATTTAGTTTCCTTATCTAACTTTTAAACAATTTATTAGACTATTCAGCAATATTTCAAAGTTTTCTTCAGTTTTTTAGCTTGAATTTGTGTTGTCAGTTTTATTTACAGATATTGTACCTTTTATGTCTGTATTATGTTAATATTTCCTCTACGTTACTCTTTAACCTACAGGTCTAATGTAGTCTTTTACACTTACTTTTTATGGCATCTATATTTTAGGACATTCTTCCACTTAGTGACATGTCACAAAGGTTGTCATGGGTTGTGTTAATGCTCCTTCTCTTCCTCACATGCCTCTGATCTCCTCCTTCTTTTTTTGGTTTTTCAAGGCAGAGGCTCACTATGTGTTCCTGGCTGGCCTTGAACTTGCTCCATCCTCCTGCCTCAGCCTGCCGGGTGCTGGGGACCAGGAGTGTGCCGTCACAACCAGCTCTGCTCCTCACTCCCGCTTCCTCCTCATACTCGGGTGAACACATCTCTTCTTTCGTGACCTTCACGAAAGATCTACCTCCTGGGAAGATGGCAAGCAGGATCATTTTCCTCCTCAGTTCTGAGTGGGCTTCTAGTCGGGCAGGGTGGTCCCAGTCACTCTGGAAGTGAGGCAGGGGGTCAGTGAAGCCCATGAGACCCAACCATCTGGGCAGCATAGAAGACTGCAGCTCACAAAAATAAGAAGTGAGTTGTCTGTGCACCATCTAGACCAGGGCTGTCCTCCTGTACAGAAAAAATTGTGCTGTGGCGTCCATAGGATTTGGGATCGCTTCTCTTCTCACTGACATCAGTGGCCAGGAGATGGGGTTGGTAGGACTGCCTTTCATTGGTCATCAGAGAAATCCGATGGCCTCGAGTGGCGGTCATTTCTTCCCACATGTTGACTGAGCCAGTGTGTGCGCCGTCAGCCATCAAGTAGGAAGAGAAAGAGACAGTGACGTTTGTAGGTGAAGAAAATGTAGACTGGTGAGCCAGAGATATGACAACAAAGAGCCTGACTTGCCCTGCTGTCGTGTCGTGGCCACCTCCACTTGGCCTCTCGGGAGAATGCTACCTTTGCAGGACTGGCTAAAGTGACATTTTAGAATTTAGAACAGAAGGAATTTCCAAAGGTTGCTTTTCTGGCTTATGGCAATAGAGCATCACTCTTGTGTTTTATTCTTAAAGGTCTCGAGGATGGATTCATACTTTTTCTAGCCCCAGTTGCTAGTTTTCTCTCTCTGTAGGGTAATTAGTGTTTCCATTCAGTTCTTTTCTCCAATTTGACTATGGCTGTCACTAGAGAGCTTTACGTTATGCTTTCATTTCTTTTTTTGTGGATAATTATTTCTTGTACGCCTATCTGGGTGCAGGTCCTGTATGAAAATGCTACTTTTGTTGCAGGAGGGCTCTGGGCCACCATCTGGGGCTCTAGTTTGGAAAGTGTCAGCCTTGTGTTCTTCGGATCTCAGCCTTGTGTGATCAATGTCACTACAAGAACTTCACGAAGAATTCAATGCAAAATTCCTCCCAGGGTAAGTGGATTCCTCTGACAACGTCTTTCTATGTGGGTGGGCAACCCTTAGTAACATAAAATTTTCAGCAGATCACTTCAGAGGACTGAATTAAATGAGATGAACTTCTCATGAGACAGTGTGCTTTTATTGTATGCATAGTCTGTTCTGCTATGAAGAGAAAGCTGACTGTACCTGCGGGGCTTGCAATTAGCGCAAGTTGATTCATTCAAAAGCAAAGCAACCCAGTCAGTCTTTCTTAGTCAGCTTGTTTGTTGCTAGGACCAAATACCTGACATACATGAGCTAGAAGAGAAGAGAATTATTTTTGCTCATGGTTTTAGCCTGTGGTTGGCGGGCTCTAAACCATAGACATCAAGGTAGAGGGGCTGGCAGAGTAGGGCCATTTACCTCATGGTGACCAGAAGCAGAGAAAGAGCAAATGGAGTGGGAGAGAAAAGAGGCTGGGGACAGGCCCTTCCAGCTCGTGCCCCAGGACCCGCTCCCCCACCAGGACCCCACCGGCTAGTGGTCTATCCAGCTAGCAACTCACCAGTGACTCAACCCATTGATAAGTGTAGCTCCCACTGATCCAGTCGCCTTCTAAAAGCCCCATCTCTGAGTGTGTTAGACCTCTGGAGCCATTTTATTTATTTTATTTTTTAAAGAATACAAAAGATGTTAAAAAAATTAGAAATGATACGAAATTTCATTAAACAAAGTCATAGGAATTAGACAATGGTTGTTGTATTGCATAATGTTATCTTCAAATTAGTTGTTTAGATTGCCAAATATAAACCTGAAAAACTGGTAAAAAAAAAAAAAGTTATAAGAAGTTAAAAAGAAGAAAAAAAAAAGCATTAACTGCTCCTTTAGTAGACCAGCAGAAATCAGTAGTACAATTACCCAAACTATCCTTCTATATATACACATAAATATATCATTTTCCCTTCTTTCTTTTGTCCTTTTCCTCATTCCAGATTTTTTCTTCTCATCAAACTCATTTTTCCCCTCTCACAGTATCTGTTGTAGCTTTCAGATTTTATTTACTCTTTCAGGTTCTCACGTTAGTGAGACAATGCAATGTTTGCACATGTGGGTCTGATTTATTTCACTTACCAGTGCAGCCTCTAGCTGCATCCATTTACCTATGAAAGCCACGAATGTATCCTTTTCTTATAGCTGAGTAATATTTCATTATGTAAAAATACTACATCTTTTTTTACCCATTCCTCAATTGATGGGCATTTGGGTTGTTTCTAAGATTTAGCCATGATAAATTGCGTTGCTATAAACTTGGGTGCACATATATTTCTGTGGTATGATGTTTTCAGGTCTTTGGGAAAAGTACCTTGGAGGAGACTAGCAGGCTTAAATGGGAACTCCAACCCCAGTTTTTTGAGGAGGCTTCACATTGATTTCCATAGTGGTTTTACCAGCCTGCCTTCCCCCCAACAGTGGAGAAGGGCTCCTTTTGCCCCACAGCCCCTCCAGCATTTGTTGTTGGCTGACATCTTGACGATGGTTATTCTTTCTGGCATAATATAGTATGTATCTCAGCATTATTTTAATTTGCATCTCTTGAATGACTAATGATGTTGAACATTTTTTCATATATTTATTTGTCATTTGTATTTCTTCATTTGTGAAATGTATATTCATCTCAGATGCCCATTTTTCGATTGGGTCTTTGAATTTTGGAGTCATAAGTTTTTAAAATTCTTTATATGTTCTGCATAAAAGCCCTTTGTCTGAGGGAGAGTTGGGTATAATTTTTTTTCCCATTTAGTGGGTTTTCTTTTTACTCGTGTTGATTTATTTTGCTGTGCAGAAACTTTTCAAAAAGATGAAATCCCAATTGTTTATTCTTTGAAGTGTTTCTGGTGCACTTTGGTTTGTGCTCATTAGCTCCCTACCTACTCCCATGTCTTTAAGATTTCCACCCATTGGGCTGGGCAGCTAGCTCAGCGGTCTAAGTGCCTGCCTATAAGCACAAAGACCTGTGTTCAGTCCCTGGTACTGCGTGTCATGCTGGCCCCAGAGCCCCAGGTGTACTGTGTTGGCCACTGAAACCAGGCATGGTGGCACATGCCTGTAATCCAGCACTGGGGAGACTGAGACAGGAGGATTGCTATGAATCTCAGCTGTGTAGCAAGACCCTGTACCAAATTAAATAAATCATAAAAGAGATTTTCACCTACTTTCTCCTCCAGTAGGTTTAATGTTTCAGTTTCAATATTTAGATCTTTGATCCATTTTGATTGTAGTTGTGTGCATGGTGATAACTGGGTCTAGTTTTAGCCTTTGACATATGGAAAGCCAGTTTTTCTGGCCCTGTTTGTTAAAGAGGGTATCTTTCTTCCAGTGAATGTGTTTGGCTCCTTTGTCAAAGATAAAGTGGCTGAATGCATTTGTAGTTGTGTCTGCATCCTCTGGTCTGTTCCATTGATCCTCAGGCCGTTTTTTTTAAACCAGTACCATGCTGATTTCTTCACTGGCTTTGTAGTATAATTTCAAGACAGGGACTGTGATGCCTCCTGCCTTTTCTTAGCTGCCCAGGATTACCTTTGCTTTCTAGATCTCTACTGGTTCCAGATGGATTTTAGGGATGTTTTCTCTAGATCTGTGCAGTCCACTCTGGCAACATTTAAGATCACAGAACTTGACACCGTCCTAGTCCATACTTTCAGTACGTATTAACACCACAGCACATGCAGATTCACCTAGTACATATTTTGGTGGTGGGTTAAAAAACTTTCTTTCTTGAGCCAATGAAAACTTCCAACAGCAATTTAGTTTTCTGGCATGGATGTTAAGGATGGGATTTAGAAAATTCTAGAATATTTGATTTTTTTTGAAATAACTTTCTAGCAATTCTTTAATACTCCATTTTTTCCTTCAAGGCAATCCTTTCATAGGATGAGGTCACACACACCTGTAATCTCAGCACTTGGGGGCTCAGGCGAGAGGATCCAAGAGAGTTCGGGGCCAGCCTAGGCTACCTAGTGGGTTCAAGGCTGCCTGTACTGCATAGTGAGACTCTGTCTCAACAGACAAAGTCTCTGAGTTCTCTTTCTCCTCTCTGTCCTGTGACACTGAAGACTTGAGCCGGTCCCCTCCCTGGTGCACTGGTAGCGCCCGGCTTAGGAGAAAGTTGCACACTGAACTAGAGGTCCCTTGGAACGCAGGGACCTCAGAATGCCTCCTGATCCTGGTCCTTCAACTTTATCTCATTTACTTTTCCTGAAATATTATGAAAAGCTGGCTTTTCTGCATAAGCCACAAGCAATTACAGTCTGTAGTTGCACTATAATATGTGTAAATGTTCCTTATTATTGAGCATTTAGATGATTTCTGGATTTTCCTTTTGTAAAGAACAATTTGTACTTGTATATACTAGATCTTAAGTCTTTTCTTTCCATACTCCCTTCCCCTCCCTTCAACCCCTCCTTCCCTGCCCGTGCACAAATCTTTGTTTCTACCTCGTTCCTTCCATTCATCCTTCCCCGACCTCCTCCCTTACTCCCCTTGCCCTCTTGCTCCTTCCCATGCTCCTCCTTCCCCGTATCTCTCCTCTGTCGCCCTCCCTATTTGTCCTTAGCATCTTTCACACAGGAGAATCAACACTGCATTTAAACTTGTGTGTCCTATTTATTTCACTTAAGATTACGATTGCAGGGTGCTCCCATTTTCCTGCCAATGGCTCATGTTCGTTCTTCTTTGTGGCAGACCAATTCTACCCTGCTTCTGAATACCCCGTTGTCTATACCCGTTCATCTATCGATGGGCATATGGTGTGTTTGCGAGATTTAGCTATGACAAATTGTGCTGCTACAAACATGAGCATGCATGTGTTGCTGTTGTGTGATGATTTGAAAGGCCCCAATATCAGTCAATGAAATTGAAGAAGTACTTTGAAAAACTATCTTTTTTTCTTAGCATGTCTTTTCTTACCGTAGAAATTCACCACCTTGTGAAAAACATTTCAGCATGTAAGTTGCTCTCTTCCTTGCAGCTGTTTTTCTGCTTCAGTCTAGGTTGGTTATTTTCTAAATTTATTCTACAAATTCCATCTCAGTACTTCTCTTAATTGTATATAGGTGTGTATTCACTGTTCTTTGGGGTGTGTATATTCTTCTTTTCTATTGTTATTTATCAGTGAGAGTATAATCTTCAGAAACATTCTACAAAAGACAATGTGGGAGGGAACTTTTTGAGTGTTTGTATGTCTGAAAGTACCCTTATACTTGGCTGGTAGTTTAGCTAGGTATAGACATTGATTTGAACTTGCCTTTTATGTTCAAAAGCAACTGGTGTGATAATTGCAGATGACCCCTGTTTGCCTTTTAGCAGATCCTTCTGCATCTGTTCAACACAGCAATTCCCTAACTTAAGTGCTACATGTGTGTGAAATTTGAAAGTCACAAATAGAACCTTTTTATCAACTCACTTTATACGGACTTCGCTTTCCTAAAGTAAAACTAAATTTGATCTTAAAAATTTATTTTTTGAAGTGAGGAGGAGGAAGAGAAGGCAAGAAGGAAAAGGAAAGAAGGGACAAGTAAAAAAAAAATGAGAAAAGAATAAAAAGGAAACCAAGCTTTTGCAAATGGGCAGAGGAGGATGGGTTAAAGGGAGCACAGGGGAACAGGAAAAAATCAAGTTATATAACGTACAGGTACAAATTCTCTATGGTGGAGTGATCATTATGTGTATCTAAAATGTTCCAATAAAATCTGATTAAAAAGAAGAATCCCCATGAGTTTGGGGCGGGCTTGGATTATGTACTGAGACCTTCTCAAAAATGAATAAAGAAATATTAGAATATAACAGCACAACAATTGGTTTTCCAGGGGCTGGAAGGCTCCGTGGTGACTGTGACCGTGTTCACCTTGGGTCACTCTGCAGTTCTGCCTGGAGCATTTGCGTATGATTC